CCTCACTCTTGATTCTGGTTAAAAAGCCCTTCAGAGGGACTGCGACTGTAGTATGAGGACAACATGACGGGGCCTGCATCCATATCCTTCGTGACAGGGCAGGACGGCGACGGCGACGGCGACGGCGATGACGACGATGTTCCTCGCCATCTCCGTCATAACTATAGCCCAGCCCCCCTCTATCTGTTCTGCTTTAGGTACTGTCCACACTTTTGCAGTCCGACCTGCTAGTCAATTGAGTGATGGCGGTAGCATATCTACTCGTCCTAGCTACATTGGTTTGCCATCTCGTCATTGCATGCCTTATTGAACATGGAAAATATAGGGTATGGGTATGTATGCCAAAGGGAGATCGGGACTGCGATGTCGATGCGATGCCAAGGTCGATGGCAAAACAGCGGGAGAAGAGAAGGTCAACCACATACCTGACCTTATTTGTATTGTTATTGGAGTATCAGCAATATCAAAGTGTTTGAACAGTGGCCGGCCAGGATCAACGTGATTCGGAGCCGAGAAGCGTGGCGTCATGGGTTCTTGCAGGTGGGAGGGCGACACCTCCCCGGCCGAGACTACCTACCTACCTGCCCCTAAAATGAAAGAAAGTTGGAAGAGCCGCACTGCATTGACCAGGGGTCAGTTACCGGATGACAGTCGTGCGTTGCGCAAGTCGCATCATGGGGCGAATGCGAATGGAAGGGGGTGCCGGTTTCACGAGTTCTTGGGACTATGGGGTATGACGTTCGAGGGTCGAGGGGTTATGGGTATTGAGTACCGAGCGGTTGCAAAAAGCAAAAATGAAATTGTTCCTCGTTGCTGTGTGAGAGAGGAAACACAGATGTGAAGATAATGACGATGTAGTTGTGATGGTGATCTGGACCTGGTCGGGGAGGGGAGGCGAATGGGGTGATATCATCTCGTAGCCCTCCCTGCCAGCCTCATCCATCGCCCCCTTCGGCGGTTTCCCGCCCACAACCAATGATTCACTCACCAATAATGGGATGTAAAGATGCTACTCTTACTTACTGTCTGGTTATCGTGGTTATTGGTCTTGGAACTTTTGCAGTTTGTTTCTGGATGGTATGGAAGAAGTGCTCCGGGCAGCTTCTTTCCGCTGACTTCATAGGGCAATGGCAAGCAGCGCGAAACCGTTAGCGGTTCTAGAACATGCCAATGGCTCGGGGGGACTTGGTTTTGAAGTGGATGATCGTCGGTTTGATGTCCATGGAAAGTCACTGTATCTGTCTGCAGCGTGTCAAAGCGCGTGCTACTGTCGTCGATGCTTTACGCCATCTGAAGTCTGATTCAGTTGTTGGTACGATGCAAGTCCCAAGCGGATGTTAGGGCAGGGGTTCGATCCACTGTAGCATTGATGCTATTCCGTGAAAGCCTCGGGTCTCGGTTGCCTGGATCACTGAAACATGAGCGACGTGGACCGTGAGCAAAGAACCACGATTGCACTCGCGTGTACTCCGAGGCCAGTTGGCCTTTTGGACGTCGTGGTGGTTGGAGGTCGTGGAGTTGGGGCCATTGGGGGAAGGGAAGAGATCGATCCACCTCGTTTGCTGGAGGTGGATCGACAACGTGTGGGCAATCAAGCGGATAAGTTATGCGCAGGTCAATCGGTGACAAAATGCAGTTTTTACATAGCAGTATGGCCATTGCTTTGCTGTGCTGAGTTGTACTAGTTGCATCGTCCGTTGAGCCATTGTTTATGCATGAGTAGATGGAGATGTTTCTGTCGTTGAGAGTAACTACTGACTACTACGTAGTGGGCGACTAGCCACTGCGCCGGAAAAATAGTTCCATGCAAGCCCCCCGCCCATAGTGCCCATAGTGCCCATGGCGCCCATGGTCAGTGTTGGGCTTGCTTCCCTGCCCTCATTCTCGTCGCATTCACTCGAGAAGAAAAGGAAAATCGTGTCTTCGCTGATGAGAATTGAACGCAGCATAACGGGTTGTTTTGATGAGTTTCTCCAGCAACAGGGACGGTCGTGTAGAGGAACAACTATGAAGGCAATAATGCGACTCCATCCATGACTCGGTGGCACAGCCCGTGACGTCAGGATGGCGGCCTCAGGCACTGGAGCCGGCATCTTCCCGACAATCCACCTTTTGCAGTTGCAGTCTTCAACCATTCAACCATTTCCACTACAAGCTTCAAACTCTACCTCTCTCACTAGCAGAATCCATCCACGGGCCTTCGCTGGAGACATCCGTGCCCAGGGACGAATCAGAAGCAATCGAACTCTTCGAAATCTCACCCATGAGTTCAGAGCCCATCATCACTGATTCTTCGAACTGTTGATCACTCCCCAACTGGGATCCTTCCCCAGCACCCCCAGCACACCCAGCACCTCCAGCACACCCAGCACCACCCCCCGATCGGAGGCCATTCTTGCCTGCAGACGACCGACAGCGCTTGGTCTTCGGGGGATGGATGGCTTCACCCCCCGCTGCATACACTAGTGAATCTAGTGAATTCTGATCGCCCCCATTTCCTGTGCTAGCTCCGGCTATGACACATCGTGTTCCAAATCTTTCTTCATTCCCCTGGCCACACCAGCCCGCTGTCAAACATTCGACTCCTACGAGCTCACACCCTGACGCCCATGTCGTCAAATCGCTTACGGGCAGCCACCCTTCCCGCCCCCCCGTTGCAGCGTCGATCTGCAGGGACGGTGCGCCGCAGCAGCGACCACCAGAAAAGTTAGCTGGCGATCTCACAACGCCATGTATCGCAGATGAGCCAGTCGCATTCCACCAGTGACCTCATTCTGCTCCTCGAGAGGGTGGACCGTGGTCCATCCGGGGGGAACGCCGACCCTCGAGCCAGTGGAGTACGGTTATTTCCGATCAGCATCCTCTCTGATGTAGGACGGACGCCGCCCTAGTCGCCGCCGCCGCAAGCCCGTACCGATGAATTAAGGGACTCTGCTGGGGAAGGGGCGCCGATTTCTTTTTTTTTTTTTTTTTGGCTGAATCTCAGTGTATGCTAGGCGCGCCTCCTCATTGGCTGTCGTGATGTCATACGCCCCCTCAAGGGCGAGAGCATAACCTCATCCGTGGGCATGGGTTGGTGGGTACTTCCGTTTTGATGTGGGCCATCATGCAGACGACAGTTTGGAACCTACTGTCACGGCATGCACATTGATGGACCACCGTCATGATTGTTGTTGTGATCTCATTCGGTCCGATTGTGTTTCCCGCCGCATATATTGTGCCCTGTCCTCGCACCTTGGACAAATCTATCCTCTATTGAGATGAACTAGTCCTACCTGGGCTTTCACGAATCTTCTTTGTCTATTGTATTCTTCATTCCCAATCCAAGCCTACTTCCGCTACGGTCTGCCAAAGGTGAGGCTCAGCATTCGGTTCTATCCACAACATGCCCTTTCTGTATGTGTTTGCTCCTTTGCGTGTTCGGGATGCCGTGACATTGATGGTCCAACGACACGCATTGTAGAAGTGTACGGTGTGATAGTGAGGACGTACCGCTAACCTGATGGCGATAGACAAGATAATATGGCCACCTCGATGCATGAAGATCAGTACCACTCGATGCCTCCCACTGGAGGCGAGGCCTGCCGTCCTCCCGGCGACTACCGCATCCACAGTCACCGGACCACCGACCCCCATAGCTCGGTGGAGGACTACAACCGAGTCATGCTCGAATACACGCAACGCCGGATGGCGGACTTCGCCGAGTTCGACGACGACAAGGGCTCGTTCCCGAGCCGGAGCAGCCGCAGCAGTCAGACCAGTGGCAACAGCGGCACCTCGACCAGCGGCGTGCTGGCCCGTCAAGCGGCTGGACCGACTTCCACTTCGGCGGGGTCTCATCGTGCCTAATCGTCGCGCCGCGGGGCCGGCGCGGACTCGTCTAAGCTGGGACCAGCATGAACAGGTCGAGGCTGAGCCTTGACTTAAGTTTGGTGCAACCAGCCTATACGAGTGAACGTATAATGAAAAGGATTTGAGTTGGTGTGCTTTGGGGGGTCAGTGGCTGCTGGGACCTCCCAGGCGTTTCGAATTACTGGATTAGCGAGAACGCCTTGATTTAGAAGCGAAGCGAAGCAATGCCGAGCGACACGCATTGCGCACGATAGAAGGGCGATTTCTCGGGCTTGAGGCTTGACAATTATGACCCGTGTTTCTGTTTTTGTATTTGATTGATACCTCGAATCGAATGGACTTGCTTTACCATCGGACTATCGACTTAGTGCACTTTTCTGTATGTCATGTATCTCGCTGCAGAGATGGTTGCTGTCACTGAGGTTTGCATTTGGTTTTGCATTCCTGGATAGACACGTTGTGTTTATTTTCTGCCCCGACCATTGTCGCTCTTTTGAGATAATGATGCTGCAGCAGTGAATGCAGAGTCGAATGATTTGTTACTGGGTAGTTGACTCGGTCGGCGTGAAGCTTGTAGTTATCTTGTATGTTTTTGCAGCTAGGACTGGTCCTACAGTACAATTTTTAGTGATATGAATTTGGGTGGCAGTCTGTCCTTGCATCCACCCCCTTTCTTGCAGTCACCATATAATTAATGTTAAACTCCAGCACCAGCTAACCATTCCGATCATGAATCTACTGACAACCGTCCGGTCCTTTACCACTCTTCCAGGATTTAACCAAGGCCCAACATTCCACACCAGCACATTCCAAACAACAACCCTAACAAACCAAGTCGCGTCCCTGCCGGCCCAAGCCAGTCCACCAAGGGAGGAATTCGACAGCCCTGGCTACCTACATTGCGAAGCCAGACAACCAACAAGCCATGTCTTATACAAATAACGCCACCATCATCCCTTGAAAACCCCGACGCCCACGCCCAGCACGACCGCCAGACCAGAACCCTGTCGACCAACTCCATTCAATCCTTTAGTGGTTTCTGAATTCCCACCCTATACACTCTTTTGACCGGCACTGGCACTAGCACTTCTTCTTTACATGCCCTAATCACCCCATAATCGAAAACATAAAAGACGAAAAACAGAACCATGAAACTCTCCACCCTGCTGCTCATCACGCCGCTCGTGCTCGCCATTCCCTTCACGCCTCACCCAGCGCAACTCCACGATGACCCGGACTCGGATGCGTTGACCCAGACCCAGGACCAGGGTGAGGGTCAAGGCCAGGGCCACGCCCAAGCCCAAGACCAAGGCGAAGCCGTCAAGAACCACGTCCTGCAGAACATGCGGCCGCAGACACAAACCCAAACTCACCAGGCACACTCTGCCCCGACCAGCACACGCACCAGCACCAGCACACGCACCAGCACCAGAACCAAGCCCGCAACACCGGACCATACCACCAGCACCACCAGCCCAGAAGCAGAAGCAGAAGCAGAAGCAGAAGCAGAAGCAGAAGCAGAAGATATCGACCCCAACCCCATCCCCAGCCCCAGCCCCGGCCCCGAAGACGAGGACAAGGACGACAAGAACAAATCCACAGATACCCCCACCCCAACCACCACTACCGACAAACCCAACCCCAACCCCAAGAACAACTCCCACCCCGACGACAACAACAACAACAACAACAACAACAACAACGAAGACCCCCCCTCAGCCCTAGCCACCGCCATCGCCCTCATCCCCAACCCCAACGCCACCCAGAACCCCGGCACCACCCAGACCTGCCCCACCGGCCGCCCCTCCAAGCAGTGCTGCCAGAGCATCGAGGCCGTCGCCGACTCCGTCCTGCAGCCCCTCGGCGAGCTCGTCCCCTACCTGGCCGGCGTCGACGTCTCCAGTCTCCTCGCTTTGGAGTGTACGTTACCCATCCCCACCCACCCCCCCTAAACACCCTTATCCTAAGGACTGGGAGGTTTACCGTCCCGGGGGAGAACCCCCGGACCCCCCTTCTTTTCAGCTCCCTGGTACTCCTCATTCTTAAATCCTGGAGGAAAGGGTGTTGCCGGGGGAGAACCCCCGGACCCCCCTTTCTTTCAGCTCCCTGGTACCCTCACTCCTGTACACTCGGGGAGAGTAACAGGAAAGAGTTGAGAGGGAGGACCCCTGGGACCCCCCTTCTTTCAGCTCCCTGGTGCCCCTCAAATCCCATGTGCTGGGGCTATCAAGTGTTGCGTGTATACTAACAACGGAATCTCTGGAATGAATAGGCACCGGAATGGCCAACTCCGACCCCAACGCCAGCTGCTTCGACTCCGTCATGTGCTGCGAGGGCGTCCCCGGCGTACGTACCCCCTCCGCCCCTTCCCATCCCCAACCCCAAGCTAACAAATGTGGTAAACAGCAAACAACGTCCCAACAGACCCTCAAAACAGCCTGCACGACCTGGGACCAGGCCATGGTCGACAAGGCGGACGATGACGCCGCGGACGCTGCTGCTGCCGCTGCTGCTGCTGCTGCTGCTTCGCCCGCTCCGAGTTCGTTGCCGAGTGCGGCGCCGGCGCCGGCGAAGAGGGCGCGGGGCCTGCCTGCGTTGCCGGAGCTGGATCTGGGGCTGGGCGAGCTGCTGGAGGGGGGGGCGGGGGTGTTCGGGCGGAAGGGGAGTGTTGTTGGGTTGGGTGGGGGGCCGAATTAGTGTTTTCGGGATGGGAAAGAACCCAGTCTTCAGGATTGAGGGTAGGGAGTTGCAAATTTTGAAAAAAAGGGGGGTCCGGGGTATATCCAGTACTCTGGATTGCTGTTACTGGGGAGCTGAAAAGAAGGGGGGTCCGGGGGTTCTCCCCCGGGACGGTATACTCTACTCTAGCATGAGATGTGTGGTGGGCGGATTGTTTTGTATGGTTATATGTATGTTATTTGAACAGTAATGGATTCTTTGTTGGCTGGGTGCATTGTGAATAGTCTCTATCTACCGCTCTATGGACTGTCAACGACCTAGCGACCGCGTGGGTACTGCTGCCAGCCCCGGCCGTGGCCATGGGCGTGGGCGTGCGATGGGTGGGGCGGGGGGAAGTGGTATGAGCCCCGGGGCATCTGCTGGGCGGCGTAGGGGCCGTGGCCGTGGCCGGGTTGTGGTTGTGGCTGGTACTGGCCCGGCGGGTGGTGGTATTGCGCGGCTGCCGGGGGCTGGCCAGGGGGGCCCTGTTGATATGGCGGTGGGAAGTGGGAGGGCTGGTGCGGGTGCGGGAAGGGCATTGGGGGCGGCGGGGGCGGCCAGGGGCCCTGGTAGTTTGGGGGAGGCGGAGGAGGAGCGTGGGGGAGACCCGGGGGGAGTGCGGCCTGGTAGGAGGAAGGCGGCGGCGGGGGATAGCCCATGGATGGATGGAGAGGAGCGGGCGGAAGGGCATGTGGTGTCGGCGGAAGGAGCGACGGAGGGGGGGGAGGGGGGGCATTGGCGTACGGATTCGAGGCAGGAGCACGATAGCCCGCCGGCGCCGGCTGGGGAGAATACGACCGGGACCGCTCCCTCGGCTGCTGCCACGCTCCTCCACGCGGCGGGGGAGATCGCGACCTCGTGGACCGGGACCGGGGCCGCGACTCGTAGCGTCGTCTGCGCGGCGACCGGCTGTCGCCTCTCCATCGTCCGCCCGCCTCGCTCTCGCTCTCGCTGTAGCGTCGCTTGTGATACGAGCCCCGACTGCGACTGCGACTGCGTGTGCTCCTGCTCCTGCTGCGGCTGCGGCTGCGGCTGCGACTGCGCTCCTCCTTCCCCTTCTTGGCCCGTTTCTTCATCTGCTGACAGAACCCCCTCGACCAGCCATAATACGTCTCGCCCTTGACGATCTCGCCACTCAAGCTCTCGCGCACGACGAGCTGGCCCAGCTCATCCAGATCCACGACCTCGTCCTCCTCGTGCTCGACCGCCTCGTCCGCGGCCCCCGCGTAGATCCCGTCCACCTCGCCCAGAAACCGCTTCAACGCGGCCACCAACTTCCCGTCGGCGGGGCCCGCCAGAAACTGCAACGGCCGGATGGTGTCCCCGCGCAGCGGCACCGCCTCGTCCGGGATGATGTGCGGGATCAGATTGCCGGCGGGCAGGTCATACCACGGGGTGGCGGGATCGCCATGCGTGGCCGGCATGACAAACGGCACGGTCTTCTGGTGTTGCTGCAACGAGGAAAGCTCCTTCTCGGCGACGGCGAGGCTCTCCTCGACGATCAGCGAGGTCTTGACGGGGCCGGACAGCGCCGCGTTCTGCACGACCTCGCGGAGCTTGTGCACGTAGTCGGCCGCGTAGTAGCCGTGCTGGCCCCAGATGTCGAGGAGCTCGTCCAGCCGGCGGTGGTGTTTCGGGTGCTGCTCGCGGGAGTAGGCGGCGGCGGCGCCGAGGAGGTCCACGACGTGCGGCTGCAGGGCGCCCGTCAGCGTCGCGAAGGCGGCGGTCGTCGGGAGGTGGTATTTGGTGTGGTGGAAGAGGTCGTTCAAGAGGTAGAGGATGTGGAGGCGTTTGCGTTTCGCCGAGGTTTTTTTGGATGGTGGTGGTGGTGCCGCGGCCGCGGCCGCTGCATCTTCAAATGAGGCCGACAGCGCGACCAGGTACTTGGCCCACACGCCGACGCGATTGGACGAGGAGACCACTTGGTGGTCGATGAGCCAGGTCTTGCAGGCCTAGAATGAGCGGGAGAAAACATCGTGATTTAGTATGTCTTGAGGTGGTTAAGCAAGGGCGAGAGGCGGCGACGGCGGCTCAAACCTGGATGTTTGCCGGGGTGCATTGCGACAGCGCCCGGTCGAGCGAGGTGTGGAATGCGGTGATGGCGTCGCGGGGCACAGAGGTTGGGTCGGGGCGCAGCAGCCCCGCGGAGAAGGAGGCCTTCGCGATGGCAAGTTGATGGGATGCCATCGCTTTGGGTGTGGGGGTGTTGTTGGTGAGGTGAGGAGGAAGTGAGAGCGGCCGCCTTGCCCGACGCTCGGCGGCGGCGGGAAACCACCGGCTGCACGTGATCCCGTCCGCCCTAGTGTGGTTACAGAGGGATGCAACTGGGGTTATGTCCAGGCTTAAAGTAGTTCTAGTAGGGAATACTGATAACTGCCACTACGAGTCATGGAAGTCCTCTTGTGGGCCAGTGGCAATTACTGACTATTGTGCTTTTTACTAACTATTGGGTGGGCAACTGCGATCACCGATGTTAACAGTTATATCAACTGGTTTCATGTCTAATATGAGGGGTTGCTTTGGAGAGGGTTGGTTTAATAAAGAGTAGCTTCGATAGAGACTCGTCCGAAGAAAGAGTCACTTCGTTATAGGTTTGGTTTGATGAAGGGTCACTTCGATAGAGATTCGTTCGAAGAAAGAGTCATTTTGCTAGAGGTTTTCTCTAATAAAGGGTCACTTCAATAGAGGCTGGCCTGATAAAAATTTACTTCATACACAGGTCGAGTCCGACACAACATACACAACATACACAACCGACTAACTATTCAACTCGTATACATAACGTGCATCATCAATAAGCCAAAATATACATGCCACCAAAAAGCGGCCGAGAAGCGAAATTACTATCGTCACATAAACCGAATCCAATCACCTTCTATCTTCGCGGGTCAACCCCTCCACATTTAGTACTGTCGGCGGCGGCCGTGACCGCCGATGATGTTGCGGCGGGCCTTGTGCGAGGGAGAGGCGGTGATGGTGGGGGTGTGGCTGGACGCGTGAGCGGAGGTCTTGGACGCGGCCGCGGTGGACGTGGCGTGGGCCGAGCCGCTGCTGGGGTGCGCCTTGGAGGTGGCCTTGGAGGTGGCCGAGGAGCTGGCGACGTGGGAGGAGGAGCCGGACTGCTTGGAGCTGGAGCTGGAGCCGGTCGTCTTCGAGCTGCTCTCCGTCGTGGATTTGGTGGTTGTCGTCGTGGTCGTGGTGGAGGTGATCTTGTCGAAGCCGAAGCATTGCTCGGACAGCGTGGTGGCGATGGACTTGATGGGATTATCAGTAAGGCAGGTTACCTCTCTGCCAGGCATCGGGCACACTTACCGCGATGTTCCAGGTGCTGATCGGGTTCGCTTCGTCGCTTGCGCTCGCGACGTCGGCAACGAGGTTGACACCCGCGGACGGAGTAATCTCGACCGCGTAGTGGTACTCGGAGCCGTCCTTGGAGCAGGCGGCTTTGTTGGCTGGATTTCAGTCAGCACCAGCACACTATCTGTTGGACAGGGGGACTCACAAGCCTCAAGGGCCAGGTCGGCACCGACGTAGGGCTGCATGTAGATCCCGGCCTCCCAGCCATATTCTTCTGCGCGTTAGCTTTGAATGGTCTTCCTGGCAGGACTGACTTACTGAAGATCTCGAGCTCCAGCTCCACGGACACCTTGCCGTAGATCTCGACGTTGGCCTCCAGCTTGGCATCGAGGGAGATGTCCGTGGTGGTGACGGTGGGAGACCAGCCGCTCTGCGTGAAGCTGACGGCGTTCTTGGAGCCCTCGTCGAAGGTCAGCTCCGCGGTGGCGGAGTCCTTGAGATCGATCTCCACCCCCATGCCGATAGTGGCTTCTCCGTCGATCGGGCCGATCGACCACCCGAGGGCGACTTTGACCATGGGGCCGATCGTGGCAATCTTGGCGATGCTGATGCCGTCAATGGGGATCGTGACCAGGTCGACTTCGTCCGCCTCCGACTTGGTCAGGTTTCCGCCCAGCTTGACCTGCGGCTCGATGTACGCGGAGACGCCCTTGGGCGACAAGGTGGCCGTGGCCTTCTCGCTGCCGGTGATGACGTTCCACAGGCCGCTGGCACCGCTGGTGTACTCGAAGACCAGGTCGAACTCTCCCTCGGTCTTGCAGGTCGAGCATCCCGCCGACAGCGAGACGCCGTCCTTGTCGAACAGGGATTTGTCACTGAAGGAGAAGTCCTTGGCGATGTCAATGGTCTTGTCGCTGGTGCTTTCACCGCGCTTTCTCTTGGTGACGCCGCGTTTCGCAATGGCAATCTGCGAGTCCGTGGTGGGCTTGCCGATCTTGATGGCGTAGTTGCGCACGGAATCCTCCCACTCGGTCACGTTGCCGGTGAACCGGGCAGTGTTGACGTTGTCGCGGAAGCTGGCCCCAGTCATGATGAACGGCTGTCGGATGGTGTTCCAGCCACATTGGCCAGCACCGGCCACCAGCATGACATAGTGAGCATCGTCGTCGTTGACCCAGTTCCAGGCGTTCTTGGCATAAGAGTATGAGGTCGAGTCCTGGAATGCAACGGTCACGCTGGCGCTGGTGCCGTTGGTGCAGGTGACGTTCTGAACCAAATCCTTGAACGCTTCCATGGCGAGGATACTCTCATAATCCTCCAGCATACCCACTGTGAAGTTTCCCAGGATGTCGGTCTCGCCGCCTAGTCAATCCGTATTAGCCATTGGACATGCAAGATCATAATCTCTCAAGCTTACCACCCCAGTAGAATGAGTGCTGGTCCTGGAGATCCAAGGAAGAGGTGGAAGTTGTAGTAGTGGACCCCGACACCGCGATCTTCACCTCGGTGTTGGTGGTCGTCGTCTCGTACGAGTCGATCTCGGCCAATTCCACAGCCAGAGCTTGCTGGTACAAGGCGTAGGCCATGAGGCCCGATGTCAGACCGTTTTGGAGAAGTTTGACCATTTTGATTATGACAACCAGGTCGATAGTCGAAATGAACGAATGAAGAGGGACAATCCCGAAAGAGCGTGTATCACTATCGTGATGGAAAAAGAACGACTGTCGCGGTGGACAAGAAAGAGTGACTGAGAGAGAGAAGGTGATGATTTGCGTGAGTATCTCTGAATCCGCCGACATCTGCTGGTCTTTTAAACCAGGCCACACTGTTGGCCCCCAAGTTCATCCGTTCAGGATCTTTTGGTGGTCTCATGTCAGCCCGGCTCACTTTGCTCCTTTCATTAGACGATCATCTGTCCGCAAAGAGTAATATTCTAGACTCAGACTGCAAAATGCAGCTCCCAAGGGGCGCAGTCATGGGGGAGCCAACCGGCGATAGCTCTCGCTCCCAGCCAAGTTGGGGGCGGCTGCATAGGGCTTCGCTGAGACCCATCATAGCAGCCTTCGCCCGCAATCCCCCAAGCACATAGACCTTGAATCCTCGTGTTTCTCCAATTTGGGATGCAGAGCAGCCGTCTGGCTTGCGCGGTGCCATACAGAGATCGTGTACCTTTCTTGGCGCAGAATTGTGCCTGGTGCTGACAGAGCGAAAAGACCGCATCGTCCAGCTGAAAGGGAAGGACCCTTCCCACAACAATCTTAGAGTTGTTTCAAGGCCCCTGCTTGCCGTCACGGTAGGATGGATGGGGTATATACCAACACAGGTCAAGCATTCTAATCCATGGGATAGGCTCAGGAAATGCTTGGCTCGGATCCATGCACCCTCGCCCCACCAGCAATTCGCTTCTATCAACAGCGGCATTGCCCAGACCTTTTCACTCGGGCTTGAACATTATCCCGTACGGTCTGTATGAAATGAGCATGATTGCCGCTCAGGGATCTGATGCGAATAGGAACAAACGCGATGGAGCCGTGGAGCGATTGAGTCGTGGTGGGCAGGGTTTCTCACGGTCCGAAGGCCATGGCTGTGTCTTAGCCGGGCGACGATCCTGCCACCAAGAAAAGTTGACATGAGGCTGAGTAGCACATCCATTACACGATATCAACTGGCGGGCCGAACGGGTTCCTGCTTATCTGCGGCATAGATGGGTTAATCGTGCAACGGCACCGTTCTCGTCAGTGCCTTTGAGTTGCCCGAATTCTCTTCTTGCTTCCTAGAAGTCATGCATGCAGTACCAAAGACCCTAGAAAATTGTTAGTCCTTGTTCTCGTTCAGTGAAGACAAAATGCGGAAAAGTTACCGTGGAGCTCTGGCTCGACCCCCTGCATTAGGAGGTGGCCCCCACGCGGAAACGGTGCCTTTTGGCCAGAGTGGCTCATGATGAACCAGTGTTTGAGCCTCTGGGGGCCAAACTGGGGAAATTGCGTTAGATCGACACTTCACTTGCAGGGATTTGCTGGTAAAGTCTGTGGTGGAAAGGGGCATTGCCGGTACAATATTGAGCAGTGGTGGTGTAGTAGGCGAAGTCCGGCTGGCGGTCGGTTTGTTTGTTTATGGCCCGACCGCCCGGCCTTGTGGGGGTTACCTGAATATCATCTTACTTGTATTTACTCCGAGCCAGTCTCCCTCTCCGAAAGCACAGTTCACTGTATCTATTAGTAGTCATGAAGAACATATTAAGCGGATGCAATGTGGTGGTGGACAGAAAATGAGAAGCGGGCTGAGAGGAGATACGCCGCACTGGAGTGTAGTCCATAGTGTCTATAGTGTCTATAATGCTGATTTCAGGAACGTGAAACTTCATTAGATATAAGAATGAAATTACCTCGACCCGACTGCGTAGAGAATCAATCTGTTGTGTTTGGTTCTGATCACGAAGGGGAAATAAGGTGAGCCATGGTTGTATATATTTCGGCCAATGCTGGCAGCCACCCGCGATAGAAGAGTGTTCATGTAACCCTCTGGTTCGTGCGTACCTGTGAACAGCAGTCACCCATTTCTTCAATAACACCTCCCTTATAACATGAACTAGAGTCGTATGCAGGCCATCCCATCCACTCTAAGATGGTCCCTGCTGGACAAAATGACTACGGTCCCAAAACGACTCGGCTGCACCGGAGCCCGCAACAAGCAACCTATTCCTGACATCGGCAAGCTGCCTAAACCCAGCAGACACGGCGATTTCGCCAGACATGATACCCAGAAACACCGGCAGGCTTTCCATACACAGGACAAGAACAGATTCGGTCAGCCCCGGCCAACCATAACTGTTGGTATAGGCGGCTGCTCCAGCTTTGTAGAGCACATACCCGAGATAGTTCAGTTGGAACAGGTGCTGGTGACTTGATGAAAGTTGTTGCAGAGATTCTAGAGCGACCTGGCCTCGGACCACCTCAGCGATGTCAATCTTTTTACGAACATTCAGCGCTTTTCGCAATTCTGCTTCGTGTTTCCGAAATCGCTTCAAGAGGGGCGCGCACGCTTTCTCCTCCAAGTTGGTTTTCCAAATCCGGTTCTCTCTCAGTTTCACAGCCTGCGGTGTGTCTGACTCTTGGCTCAGATGTTCTATCACAACCAACAAGATCAAGACCATTGATTGATTGGAAGGTCTCAAGACTTGGGCGACCCATGTTTGAAGCGTCTCGAAGGACTCTTTCGTTAAACGTACGCTTTCTAGCTGGTGCTTTGTGAAGGAGGAGTAATCACCACCCACAGTCCATTTCAACGTGAGGAGACTCAGCATGAGCCGATCCACATTTGGAAGCTCCACATTGAACAATAAGAATGAAGGGGAGAGCTCTCCGTTCGGTAGACGGCCGGATTTGCGTGGCTGTCCGACCCTATCAGCTAACTCGGCCTCTCCTAGTAAGGTGATCTCGTTCTCGAACTCACGCTCGAACTTCCGAATTGCGTCATCATCGGTCACATGTCCAAGCTCCCATTCAGAAGCGATCTCGGCCAATGACTTCCTGACAAACAGAATCGTAGACCCTTTTCCGAAAAGTAAGTTTACCACTTTCTCATGCCTATTTTGCCTCGCTATGGAGATCGGTGCTTGGCCGTCGATACTTCTTGCCTCGGTGTCTCCACCCTGTCGGATTAATACCTTCAACACATCTAAGTGTCCGTTCCGCGCTGCCAACCAGAGGGGTGTAGCCTGTATTCGAGATTTGCTATTGATGGCAATACTCTTCTCTCTCAGAAGCGTTGACACCACAGCCGGGTGGCCCTTCTCAGCCGCGTGATGGAGTGGTGTATAGCCTTCAAGATCAGGCAAGTTGATTTCGCATAAATTCAGCAAGCGCCTCACAATCGAAGTAAAACCGAACCTTGACGCAAAGTGCAGAGCTGGAAGGCTCTCCCCAATAAGGGGAAGGTTGCATATCTTGGCGAGCTCCTCTTTATACGACATAACGATCCGAAGAAGAGGAATATGTTGTTCTCTGACAGCCCACCCAAGCAGGCCATGGAGAAACGAGTGGCGTGAGCGTCCACCCGCCACCCAGGGATGAAAATTCCAAGTTTCATTGAAACATGTCGCAAGCCGCGTGAAGCTCTCCCACACCGGAGACTTAGGTGTTATGTCTCTCGTCTGCAATGCCCAATTAGATACAGCGTAATCGAGGAATTTGAATTGCTCCCCAGGTGAGTCCGTACAGACCGGGCGAATGGGTAGTTTGATCGAAGCCTTCTGAATCTTCGGCGCACGAAAAAGAGAGAACAAGGAGGACTTCATCGCTTCACCAGCAAGCAAAGCTGGCGAGACTACTGTCAAGCCTGTTGAGTTGTGATCCCGTCCTTGCGTCTCAACCTGTAAGCTAAAGTTGGAGAAAGAAAGATAAGCAACACAGAACTCCCCACACTGGAGGTTTCCTCGCGCCTCGCTCTCCAGATATCTGGTCTCATGGTCGGCTCGATGACTCAGAAGGAACTTTTTGACCGACGAGTGCGCGAAGCGAACACAGCCATCAGTAGGGTCCTGAACCACGAGATTAGCGCAGCAGCCGAGCACAAATTCGTCCTGGGGTACTTTCTCGTGATCCCAGCGAGTATCATGGAGATCAAAGGCTACTGCTTCCTTCAGTTCATCGATATGCAATGGTCTGGTAGCAAAGCTGACCCATTTAAGAACCTTCGCAGCCCTGGGATCAGACGCAATTCGCTGAGTACACAGTCTATACGTTTCCTTCAAACCCTTAGGAAGCCGACGCAAGGCGGAGCGCACCTCTGCATCAGTGAAGCATGTCGACCACAAGATCTCGAGAACAAGGTAAACCCATAGAAACCTGCTCAAGTCAGTTTACATACGTCGAATTTGTAGGGTTTCCGACATACATTCCTGAGGCCTCAGTGAGAAGCACGCGTTTGATCTCTTCCAGTAAGGAACAATCACTGGTAAGCTTTCTAAGCATAGACTTGTCATCAATGCTGGCTTTGATATAGAATTCGATATCCTGGGTAACGTGATTGAATGTTGAGATTCGGAGAGCCCACGGCATAAATGTAGCAATGTTCACGTAACCTGGTACGTGATTCCTGCTCAGCAACATAATCTTCGATCCATTAGGTGGGCTGGCAGAACTGAAGGTTGCTCGAATTAGAAGCAACATTTTCTGGCATTCTTGCTGTTCTAGTGCATCGAGTCCGTCAAGAACGTAGATTGTGTTTGGCATGTATGAGAACAGAAGGTTGAAGATTTCTCGCAGGTCATCATAGTCTGGTACCCTTCGGTCTCTTCCAAAAAAACGCTCCAGCTCATGAGCGACATCTGGCGGAAAGACCTGATGCGACTCGTACAAGAGCTGAGCTAATTGCTTGATTAGACTGGCGAGAATATAGGAAGCCTGTAACGAGCCAGAATGCTTGTTCTCACAATAGAAAATTACTGTAGGACACTGGCAACTGGAGTTCCCAAGTGCGCGATACTTGACAGCCTCAACGACGGAAGCCGCGATGATAGTTTTACCTGAACCAATTTTCCCCGAACACCAGAGGCTGGACTGATCCAACCTTGTAAGCCATGCTTTATATGTCGCATGGTTCAAGAACCACTGGGTTGTTCCAGGAAGGCGCTTGTAGGCAAGTCTTTGGTGAACCTTATCATGGTCATAGTTCGAGATCCGCTCTAGTAGCTGTCCGATGTCCGTGTGTAGACTTTTCTTGCTTATTTCGCCTGCAGATGTTTCCGACCCGTTTGGAGCCATGAGACCATATTGAGCCAGCTTCGAATCCACATGAGGTGATGGCATGTCAACCAGTTGCTTGGTATGAATCATGGACAGAAGCTCCTTGGTATATGCTGCCGCTGTGGCAGCTGCATACTCTTGCCACTGCTTATTTTTATGAGAGTCTGCATAGTCACAGATCCCTCGGATCACCAAGCAAGGGAAGTTGTCCATCAAGCCAGCTGCTTCCATCTCGAAGCAGAGAATACCAAATTCGTTCGCTAGTTGATCTCTTATACGACCATTCTTCATTACCTGGTTTGCGGAAGCAATAAGGCCGTAATGAACCACGGGGACATCATAACCTCGATCGGGTCGGGTTTCCCTTCTCCTGAAATCACAGTTCGCGCAGGTTATCCCAGAGTCTTCATGATCATAGTCAGGCTCAAACAGCACGTCTTGCTCTGCACCACGGTAGGTGAATTTGTCTTTCATTTTCGGGTACCTGCATACCATCTCAGACAATATGGTGGGGATATTGCTTGGTCTCACCATGTGCTCCGCCTGCAATTTGGAGACCGCAGTCAAAAGTACCGACGGTGGTTTGTTAAGCATGCCAGTTCTTTCAAAGCGGTTGTTGCTTAAAGTCTTTCCGTAGTCGTACTGCACGATCCCGCCATAGTCCCTCGTTGGCTGGCTGACCACCACATCGCCAAGCCGGATGTCGCCTTGTGATGGAGTTGCACCTCCGATGCCGACCATCAAGCCGACCGTATCGATCTGAAGGTAAATTGAACCTGACTGGCGATGACTGCGGCTGATGTTGTGCCATATACACCGGCGGGAAGGCATACAATGACAACATTATGCCCGTGTATGCTGCCGAAGATATAGCTATTATTGTCACTCAGATCAGTTGGCAAGTCTGGATGTCTCTCGTCAAGCATTGCGGCTGCAGCCGCCATCTCCAAGGGAAGTGCAGAGATCCACGCGATTGTGTAGTCATGATGACGGTGAATCCTAGGGATTGTCGCCATTTCAGTGCCCTTGAGTCGGATCTGTATCGGGAGGCGGACTATTGCCTGTCGACCCAGGGTGTCGATGCACACTCTTCAACAGGCATACCTCGACATTTTCCATTAGTCGACTAGATTGCGTATTCGGCAGTCATTCAGTCGAGTGTTCCCTTCGTTCAAGAGCTATGTAGTTCAAACCAGAGCCTAAAAGCCGAGAGTCATGAGTGGCATCATCAGACAGGGATTGAGATTGCTGAGGGGAGCGTGAGGCTGAAGCAGCTGGACTAGCGCAGAGGGCCAGCAGGACTAAACAGGACTAAACAGCATTGGTGCCTGAGGCATCGACAATGCACACAATGCGGGGAAAGCTTGCATTGAAGCGCAGGCCAGAACTCTACTGAGTACCTGGAGGGTTTACAGGGAGATGACTTAGAATTCATTTTTCGATCAAGTCAGGACAAGTGGAAATACCATCAGTCGCTCATATTCCACATAGTATGAGTATGAGTAACCGCCTTCTGCACCGAACTGAACTACTTACTACTGTGTATGTACGTACCTGGTATGCTGGGTGTGGTCACATGATACGGGGGATCTCTGTCGTCATTCATCGATTTCCTTCCTCAGCTTACCAATTCCGACATACTCATAACTAACCTAACCTTGAACTAACTGCTCAGTAATTCTCATGATCGTTACCTTTTGACTCCTGCTTATGGATCCACTGGTCATTGCTCATTCTCCTTTTTGAGCAATTAGGCAGTCACCCAAACTTCAGTTTAGTCCAGCTACATGTGTTCATGTTTCCGGCCGGATGGTCAACTCCCGCCATCAGACAAACAGTGAGCAGACCGCAATTGCCACGGGCCGGGCAGATGCAGTGCAGCGCCAGTGCCCAACCGCATCAACTACCGCGATTACCCTCAGGTGTGCCTGGCCGGATCTCGAGTCGCCGGACCCCACACTGGAAACTCTGACTCTGCTCGGTACGTACTGTCCTCAGTAGTCCTGAGTATGTTAGAGTCTGTGGACGGACTGTTACGAGTTACCCCCCCCCCCCCCCCCCCCCCTACGTCTTCGGCCGGAACTTGTAGATCATCTGCCCCTCTTGTTGATTGCGTGAGCATGGCAAATACGCATTCCTCGCTGCACCCGCACCTTGGTTGGGAGGGGAGGGAGGAGGGGTCATCAACAACAGTATGACAACAAGGTCCTTCCTCCTTATCCACTGATGGTCGTAGGGGTCAATTGCAGGTTGAAGTTGAAGTTGCACTGGAGTACCTTGTTAGGTATCTGAATCCTTCAATCCGCCATCGACTGGCCAGATGCATCCAAGACCAATAGGGTACCTGCTTAGCTCAGTTTCTGACATGCAGGGAGGACTGGTGGCTTGAATCAGTAAAAATGAAGAGCGCACCTCAGATGACACTCGCTCCCTCCTTCATCCCAACTGCCTATGCTGCAAGCCGATCGATGTTTCGGCGGCTGCAGGAGCCATGGAGCCATGACGATTGAGGACCGTTTTTCCGCGTGCGCGTTATTTCTTTTTCCCTTTTTCCCTTTTTCTCTTTTTTCCTCCCCTCTAGCCAGTTCGCAGGTCGATGAGTGGGCCTCAATGACCCCATCTGGACCCTCCCCGCAACTCCTCCCGAAACACGCTCATGCTCATGCTCATGATCTGATCTCGGGATTCCAGAGTGACTCCTCTTGTTCATACAACCGCCTCAACTATAAATCCCTCATGGTTCCCACTCTCTGCAGGGTGTTTTTAATTCTAGCTAGACTTGATCGATCCTCTACTACACCTAAATTCGAGTTGCCTTACCTCAACTTTCCACAAAGCTGCTAGACCGACACACACACATCATAATACAATACATACCTCGAACTCGTTGTCCACCTCATCGCGTCGCGTCGCATCGCATCGTATCACACCAGCCTCCATCTCCAACACCTTGCCCCTCAAGACCATCACAATGATTGCCATCCAATTTGCCCGCCCTACCATCCGCCATTTCTCGGTGCACCGTCCGCGCCCCGACACTCGCACTTCCCGCTTCATCACCAGTTCCTGCCTCTTCTCGGCGGTAGTTCTTCCCTTCATACCTCCGGCGCTGGAAAGCTCTCGGGAAAAGAGCAAAGGCTATCCCACCCACAACAAGTGAGTCTTATAACCCGCGCGTGTTGATCGCTGCAACCCTCGACTGACGGAATCGTTCCTCTCTATCAGGCCACACCCCCCACTCTGCTTCCATGCCCGCTAGACCGCATATATCCGTTCGGATTTAACTCCACGAGTGGGGCCATACTTGCAGAGACAGACACAACATCACTTTACTCGTGTCATCACGCCATCCTTCTATTTTCCTGCCGTCGGATTTTTGATCCTTTTTTTTCATTGTTGGCTGGCGAATGGGTACTGGCATATACCTTTTTTCTTTCCCTTTTTTAATCACCCTCTCAAACGACATTTGCTGAGGGAATTGCATCATGAGAAACCCCACATATGGATTTTCAGGGGCATCGAGGAACTTGTCTGGCTGGCGTTTAGCTTGCGAACTTTAATAATTTTCTTTTGTTTGGCGTGACCGTGCGAGAAACGCTTGTTTTTGAGGGGAGAACTACGTACTGGACAGGTTCCAGTGGCAGTTATGCCGAACGGGCGGATTCTTCTTTTGTCTTTCCCCCCCCACGGTCTCCTTTCATTACCGCTACCGGAGGTGCAGTTTGCCCTGAGATAGTGGATAACGATGATTACGATTATGAGATAGCTAGCTGTCTAGCAGCAATACAACTCGCGTTACTAATCAACCAAGCGATCTTGCACGAGAATGATCATCCAGGAGTCGATTTGTTTTCGGATGTAGAAATCAATCAGGCTCGAATTTCCCCGGATCTTCACGAGATCCAAGACATGCACGAAGTAGTGCAGACTGCAGAGAGAATCAAGCTTTTCCCACCGGAAGTAATCCACCCCCACGAGCCAAGCCATACGTGCACACGCGGATACGCACATCCATCGAAGAACCGATATCCGGAAACGGCAGAAACCTATACATTTAGTAAGGGAAACATTATGGTACAGTAGCACACACGAAAGATGTCACCGGCACTTTTCGCGATTCCCTTCCTTCTTCTCAGACCAAAACCCACCCCCTCTCTATACCTCGTTGTTTTTGTTCCCATCTACCCCCCTAAAGCCGATTCCCCTTCGGCGGCCGAAACGGCTGCGCGGCCTCGTACTTCCCCTTCTCCAGCACGCGGTCGGCCTCGGTCTCGGGCTCGTGGCGCGTCGCGGCCGGATCGTGGCTCGCCTCGGCGCTGGGCGAGGCGACGTCGTCGGCGGCGTTCTGCTGCGACCGGGCCAGCTGGGCGGCGCGCTTGTGGCTCGGGTCGTCGGAGGGCACGGGGGTCGGGGTCGGCGTGGTCAACGACACGGCGGACTGGCGGCGGTGTTCCGCTTCCATCGCAGCCAGCTGCGCTTTGCGTTTCATCTCCGTCTCGAATCGGGTTTGGCGGTCCGCGTTGATGGATTTCTTCGCGAAGTAGTAGGCGCCGCCGCCGGCTTTGGGGGGGGTGTTAGTTTTGGTTGGGAGGGAAGGGTGTGGTGTTGCGTTGCGTACCGACGCACAGAGTACCCCATCCGATCCTGTTGGGTTGGGAGTCGTGTTAGTTGAGGCGCATCTTGAGACGGTGCAATGGCATGGCTGTGCTGTGTTTTGTGTGGATGTGTGTGTTTTGCGGGCTTCACCTTACCAGGTGGATTTGATCTAGTTGTTGAGCGAGAGGTGAGGTTAGCGAGCTTGAACCTTGCCACCTAGGTGGATGGGTAAGTCCCGTCAGTCACATACTGTGTTCATCTTGGATATATCGACCACTTCCTGCACACAGTGTCAAAAGAAGGGAAATTGAAGACCGAAATGAGGAACTCAGACGGGGAAATTGAATGCGAGCCTGAGATTATTGAACTACGTCAATCACTGCCGAAGCCCTTCGGCCGAAACGCTGGCCAATCGAATTGCCCACACGGCGCCGACGCCACATGCTGAGCAAATCCCATTGTTGCCTCAGGCTGCCACACACCGCCGAGCCGAGCCTCGCCTCTTCCGCTCCGCAATCGATCCGATCTTCTTTCATGCTCCTCCTCTTCTACGCCTCCTCCTTCACCCTTCCTCCCCTCCTGTCCCTTATCGACCACCGCCATCTATACCACCAGCAGTAAATAAAAAAGCTGGTAGGTGCTTTTCGTCTGATCGGGATATGGTCATACTTATTTGAACGGCTCACTAAGGGCGCCGGTAGCCTGTCGGGAGCAAATTCGATACCTTCCTTGCCTCTGTCGCGACCGCGCGGAATCGCTTTCGCACAGTATAGAAAAATTATAGACCTCATTTCTCAGGAATAATTCCCCGGCACTGCGCGACCGGACAGAATGCCGCCGGTCAAACGCAAAGCTTTAGATAGTATGCCATGCCCATCCCACCGCCACCATTCCGGGGGGCGTGTCAGAGCGATTCCATTCTGACTTGTATAGGTGGTCGATCGAGTCGAGCCTCGAAGCGCGCCACCCCCGTGCCTGATATAAGTAGCGGTGATGAATATTCGGACTACGAAGAGGATGTCAAGGAAGATAACCTGAAAGGTAAGCAAGCTCAAGGGCGGAACCAGGAGGGGAGAAAGGCCCAGAACGAAATCACTGACTTACACACCTCCGGCGTTTTGCTCACAGATGTCGTGGAGAAGCTCAACATCGAGCATTTCAGCAAAAAGGGCGGCGGCGCCATCCAGAAGCAGGACCCCAACTTCGGATACAAGGACTTCTCGTCGCTGGCGTTGAAGCCGGACCACGCGAATCGCCCCCTCTGGATCGATCCGCTGAAGGGCACCATCACCCTGGAGAGTTTCTCCCCGCTCGCGCCCCAGGCCCAGGACTTTCTGACCACGATCGCCGAACCCCTCTCCCGGCCGACGCATCTCCACGAGTACCGGTTGACGGGAAACAGTCTGTATGCCGCGGTGTCGGTCGGCCTGCAGCCGCAGGATATCATCAACTTCCTCGACCGGTTGTCGAAAACGCCGCTCCCCGAGACCATCAAGTCGTTCATCATCGATTTCACCAAGTCGTACGGAAAGATCAAGGTGGTGCTGAAACATAACCGGTTTTTCGTGGAGAGTACCGACCCTCAGATGCTGCAGATGCTGCTCCAGGATGAGGTCATCGGGCCCCAGCGATTGCAAGGGTCGGAGGGTATCATCCAGCAGGCGGCGCCGAAGATGGGCGGTCTGGTCATCCCCGGTACCAAGGATGCGGCGGGTGTGAAGCAGACCACGGACCAGAAACCGGCCGAGGATGCGGCGGGGGAGGCGCGTCGCGAGGACGATATCCTGCTCGCCATCCGGGACGATGACGACGATGAGGAACAAGCACAGGTGCACAGCTTCGAGATTCCGAACGAGGCCGTCGAACCGGTCAAGGCGCGCTGTCAGGCCATGGGTTGCCCCGCGTTGGAGGAGTACGATTTCCGGAACGACGAGATCAACCCGACGCTGGATATCGACTTGAAGCCCAACGCGCGGATTCGAAGTTACCAGGAGAAGAGCTTGAGTAAGATGTTCGGTAACGGACGTGCCAAGAGTGGAATCATCGTCCTGCCGTGTGGTGCAGGCAAGACCCTGGTGGGGATCACGGCGGCCTGCACGATCAAGAAGGGTACCATGGTCCTGTGCACCAGCTCCATGTCTGTGGTGCAATGGAGAAACGAGTTCTTGCGGTGGTCGAACATCGATCCGGGCGACATCGCCGTCTTCACCTCGGACAACAAGGAGAAGTTCCGCCGGTCGACCGGTATCATCGTCTCCACTTACTCCATGGTGTCTCAGACGCGGGCGCGATCGCACGATGCGCAGAAGATGATGGACTGGATTCAAGGGCGTGAATGGGGTCTGATGATCCTCGACGAGGTGCACGTCGTGCCTGCTTCCATGTTCCGAAAGGTCACATCCGCCATCGCGTGTCAGAGCAAGCTGGGGTTGACTGCCACCCTTCTGCGTGAAGACGACAAGATCAAGGATTTGAACTTCCTGATTGGTCCGAAGCTGTACGAGGCGAACTGGATGGAGCTGGCCGAGCAAGGGCACATCGCCAAGGTACAATGTGCCGAAGTGTGGTGCCCCATGACCACCGAGTTCTATTCGGAGTACATGCGGGAGAAGTCCAGAAAAGCGGCCCTGCTGTACATTATGAATCCGCGAAAGTTCCAGGCTTGTCAATTCCTGATTGACTACCACGAGAAGCGCGGGGACAAGGTCATTGTGTTCTCGGACAACGTCTATGCTCTCGAGCGATATGCGCTGAAGCTGAACAAGGCCTACATCTACGGCGGCACGCCCCAGAACGAGCGCATGCGCATTCTCGAGAACTTCCAGCACAACGAGCAGGTCAACACGATCTTCCTGTCCAAGATCGGCGATACCTCGCTTGATCTGCCGGAAGCCACCTGTCTTATCCAGATCTCGTCCCACTACGGTTCGCGTCGCCAGGAGGCTCAGCGCTTGGGTCGGATTCTACGGGCCAAGCGTCGTAACGACGAAGGCTTCAACGCGTTCTTCTACTCGTTGGTGTCGAAGGACACGGACGAGATGTTCTACTCCTCCCGGCGCCAGGCATTCTTGGTCGATCAGGGCTATGCCTTCAAGGTGATCACCCATCTGCAGGGGATCGAGAACCTGGAGGGCCTTGCGTATGCCACGCCTGCGGAACGGCGCGAGCTGCTGCAGGAGGTGATGCTGCAGAACGAGACGTCCGCGGAGGTCGAGCACGTCAACGACGATCTGTTCTCCGAGCGCTCGGGAGGCGCCCGGGCTCGCAAGGGCGCCGTCAAGCGGAGCGCGGCGACTCTCAGTGGACTGGCGGGTGGCGAGGACATGGCCTACATCGAGTACAACCGGAGCCGGAACAAGCAGCTCAAGGACAAGGCCGGCCACCATCCGCTGTTCCGGAAGATGGAGCGGGAGCGACTGAAACGGAAGAAGGAGTTGGAGGACTTCGTGCGGTAGCTGTCTTTGTTGGTACATATTTGGCAATAGTATGGCAGAATGAATAGCCTGAGCATGAACTATATAGGGGCGGAACTATAAATACAATAAATAAAATAAAGAAGCCACACTGCGGAAGCGGCCAGATCTTGATAGCCACTGGTGCAGTCTACGAAGACACCAGTAGAGGCGGGCTACTAATTCTAGGTACGGAGTAGTTCACTCACAAATCACCCAGCAATTCTGCAATATACCCGGACTGACCTAGTCAACGAATTTCGACCACGGAGTATACTACTATACTCTTATTCATGATGACACCGCCCACAGCCCCGAACGACGATCTAGATCGCATCCCATCCCACATCTCAAGGGCCGATCCCCGATCCTCAGCAACCGCAAGCCGGCAAGCCCCGAAGGCCGAGCAAATTTATAAGCACATCGTATTATCATGGCTCCGACGCTCCGATCATGCGGCGACCCTGTTTCACCTTTTCTGGGGTTGACACCTAAATTAGGCCAGCTTGAATCAGAATGACGTTTCCCTTCCCGAGGTTCCGAGGTGGACGGAAGCTCGCGCTTAGTCGGTCTCCGCAAATCAAGCGGAGGGCATTTGTTTTCCTGCTTTTCCTGGAGGATGAATCTCCAGGGTCCCACGCGCATTCGACTTGATTCGCTCCAGCTTTACTTTCTAATTTCGCATCTCGGTCTCTAATAAACCCTGGGCCCGTCAGTCCAGTCCAGACCATATTTCTTATAAACCTGGGGAAAGGGGGCTGGCTACTGGTGGGCTAGATGTTTCGGATTACCACACACATTACTACTGCTCGTCCACGGACTAGATGCACTACTATCTGTGGTGGTAGCATCGGATATAAATCTCCTGCGGTGGGACGGTTACCCTCCGTGCTAAGCAGGACCAGGACGTGTTGTACAACAACTGGAAGATCAGGCGCCGCCACTCCTGCGATAACGTTACCTCGCACCGCGCTACGGAGCCACCGGCATACACATACACCAACCCGCCTCGCCCGGTATACAACGTATCAACCACCACCACAAACACCAACACCAACACCAACGAAAACAATGGCAACAGCCCACCAAATCCACCTCTCGCCTACGACGACCACGGGCATCTTCTCCGTGGCCGCCACGGACGGCGGGACTGGGACTGGAACTGGTCCCAATGAAGCCTCCGCCCGCGCAGCCAGCGAAGTCCTCCAGCATGACCTCGAGCACCACCACGTCTTCTTCAATGATCTGGGATTCCACAGTACCGTCCCTTACCCCTTGGACCCCCCCCCCCCCCCCCCAAAAAAAATCATCATGCTAATCCAAGGGCAAGACCACATCGTCCACCACATCCTAAGCATCTACGCCCTCGGCGCCTCGGCGGAGGAGATCCGCGCCGCCTACGAGCGCGACCGCGCCTACCAGCGGAAAGCGATCCCGGTGGACGAGGCGGTCGTGGCCGAGCTGGCCGACCGGAACCGGTTCCTGGGGCTGCTGGGGATGAAGGAGCATTACTCGAATTTTCTGCGGTTCTTTCAGCGGGAGATTGAGCGGGTGGGGGTCGAGGAGGTGTTGATGGGGTTTTTGTTTGGGCAGGATGATGAGGTTGCGAGGGCGATGTTGGGGAGGCTTTTTGGGGGTTTGTTTTCCCTTTTTTTTGCTCTTCTTTCGGTTCTAGTGGCTGTTACTGGAGGTTGAGGGGAGGGGGAGATGTCTGGTACGGTTGTTTGGGGGAGTGAGTGAATTGGCTTGCTGACTGCTGACTGCTGCCACAACCTAGGGCTGATCCATCCGTTCATCCACCTGGGCTTCGGCCTGGAGTTCGAGCAGCCGGCCATCGTGGCTGAGGCGCTGGCGCAGACGGCCATCCACGAGGACTGGACGGGCCCGATGTTCTTCTGGCCGGCCGAGGAGCAGGCCGGGGGGGTCGGACGGCGCGGGGAGAAGGGCCTGCTGGCGATTCTGGAGGCGATGCGGCGGGACGAGACGCTGGCGCGGTCGGTGCAGTGGGAGGATGGGAACAAGATGCGCGACGGCGTGTTGGCCCGCGCGGGCGAGGCGATGCTCGCGTACGCGGCCGAGTACTCGGTGTCGGCGGAGCAGTTGGAGGAGCGGACCGCGGAGATGATCAACACCGTGGGTGAGTAGTCCTTAGTCATTGCCCCAGATTCGCATCCTATTAACCGCGTCCAGTCTACTACACCAGCGCCGCCCAACGGCCCTCCAAGCAGATCAAGTTCGACTTCTTCTACCTCCACAGCCTCAACTCCTCCATCTTCGTCTCCAAGCTCCTCGCCCTCCCGTTCTTGGCCACGCAAGCCAAATGCCGTCTGCTCGAATGGAAGGGCCGTCTCGACCTCCTGCTCTACGTCTCCCGCGGCGTCCCGGAGTTGTACCTGGAGGAGATCCGGGCGTATCCGACCGCGCACAGCTGGGCCGACATCTTCGCCTTCTGCAACCGCCACCCGCAGGATGACGGCCACCTGGCCAAGCTGGTCCGTGCCGTCGCCCACGGCGAGCGAGCCTGTCGGCCGTTTGAGGCGGAGTGGCCGATCAAAGGTGATATGTGGCTGCGCATTGCCAACATGGGTAGGTCCACGCTCCCCCTCATAATCAATCTAGACTACCCGGCAGGGCTATTCGGAGTCGGTACTATTCTACAACATTGGGGCTAACTAACGGGGGATCCACTTAGCAATGGACTCAACATCCGACCACGATCACCACCCGATGTGGGTCCGATCCACCGGGTTCGACCAGGCCTGGCGCGAATTCGACGGGCGAGCCGAGCTATAGGGAAACGCGCTAGGCCTGCGTCATTGGTAGGGTTCTGAAGGTCATCCATGCTGGTTGGGGAGGCATGCATTGGGGCTATAGCGAGCTATGATTAGAATGATGAATGAATAGTAGAAGCTTCATGAATGAAACGAAAACCAGAAGAGAGAAGCTGATCCTGACGGTGTAGAACAGAGGCGAAGGGTCGAGAATTCTGGACTTGCTTTTTGCAGCCGGCACTGCACTGCAGCCCCATTGGGCGAGGATCACGTGGTGGGTGGGCGGCTGTGGATTGTATTGTATTGTAACCTATGGGTGGGTACTGTGTATTGTACTGTACAGCAGTCACCTACACTGTTTGTTCTCCCGATATCTTGAAGCCACGCCAGGTTCGAGTGACTTTCTCCATCCCCCCGCCTGGATCTTATGTATATGGTACCGGCAATCTTGAGAATTGGTAGGGAGGCTTTTAAGTACCGCGGCACCTGTAGTGTAGACTTGGCGACTGGTCACGTGTGTTTTGCTCCAATGCCTTCCCCCTTATGAGATTCCTGCTTGCGCTGAACATTGATCCTCGCAGGCGACATCGGCCGTCTGGCTGACTACGCGCCCTACCGCGGATTCCTGCAAAGACAAACCGACCGCTTCAAGGCCGTCCTACTCATCCTCGGCAACCATGAGTTTTACGGCCTGTCGATCGCCGCGGGGCTGGACAAGGCCCGGCAGCTGGAGCCGGAGCCCTGCGTGCACGGACGGCTGATCGTTCTCAACCAGGGACGATATGACGTCCCGGGGTTTGATGTCAGCGTGCTGGGCTGCACGCTCTGGTCCCACGTGCCTGATGGATCGCGGGAGATTGTGCAGGCGAAGATTCAGGATTTCCGGAAGATCGAGGGGTGATACTTGATACTTCGAGGACTTGGGTTTGAGGTTACCAGGAAGTTGAAATGAAGGGGGGTCCGGGGGTTCTCCCCCGGGATACTTAATACTTCAAGGACTTAGGTTGAGGGGTACCAGAAGGTTGAAAAGAAGGGGGGTCCGGGGGTTCTCCCCCGGAACGATATATTTTAGGGTTTTATATTGAGGGCACAGTTGAAGTATAGGTAATGGTGATGTTTCATGTATTGTATCTTACCGTGCTGTAATAACTGGGGTGGCAGCCTCAGGCGGCAGTGGCGGGCGGTGGAAGGAAGGAGTGGGGCGATCTCCCCAACAAATGCCTCGAGCCCGCTTTTTATCTACTCGCCATCCCCTCGCTTGGCCTCGTTCCATCCTCCGAAGAAAGCAGTGCTTTCAATTTACCTGTCACATCAACCCATCAATCTTGCTTATCCTCTTGCTTCTCTCTCAAAAAGCACACACATCATGGCTGGGGACGACACCCAAAATAACAACCAAGACACCTATCCCACCCACCATAACCACAACCAACACCACCACCACCACCATCACTACCACGGCTGGCCCGAAGACGACAATCCCTTCGTCGCGATCCGGCGCTTCGCCGACGAACAGATCTCCTCCGTGCTGCAGTCCGTAACCGGTCTCCCCTCCTCCATCAACCCCCCGTCGGAACGCTGGGCCATCTTCGACGACCGCCCGCGCGACAACCCTCACAACCCCAGCAGCCAGGAAGACAGCGACTGGGACCATGCCCCGACCGTCGCGGCGCACCACCACCACTTCTACCCGCGTAACTACCGCAGCGACGCCGACTTCTTCTTCAACTCCTTCTTCGACCGATTCTGGCTGGACGCGGACACGGACAATGACGACGACGAATTGGGGACATCGCGGCGCCTCCTCTTCCAGCCCTTTGCCCACCGGCCCATGCTGCACAACCTCATCAGCGACGCCTCGCCCGCCTGGCCCGTGCCCTACCTGATGTTCAGCCCGTACTCGCCGCTGCATCTCGAGCGGCGGCGCGACCGCGGGGAGAACAGCCGGGGGGTGTTTTCGTCGCTGATGTCGTCGCTCAGTCTCTCCGAGGGCGATGCTGATGCAGCTGCGGAGCCGGAGCCGGAGTCGGAGCCGCGGTGGCGCGAGGCATTCGAGGATCTTCTGCGGCTGGAGAACGGGAAGCCCATGCTCGAGCGGGAGGACATGACTAGTACCAAGACAGCGACCCGGGAATCCGGAACGGAGTGGCTGCAGGGTCTCGTGAAGCGGGGCAGTCTCGGCGACCGGTGGAAGTACGTTTCCGGTGGTTCTGGCGGTGGTCAGCCGTCGTGGTCGACGATCACCTTCGACAACTCGCAACTCCTGCAAGACGAGAAGATCCCGACGAAGAAGGCGGAGGTCATCGACACGGAGGACCTTGCCCAGCCGGCTGGCGGGGCCGACGCGCTCACGGAGCAGGATCTGTACGACCGGTTCCTGGACGATCTCCAGGCCCGCGAGCAGGCGTTCGCCCGCGAGATCCACGAGAGTCCCCTGCTGCGCTTGTTGCTGGACGACCGCCGCCGCTTCAGGGAGTTGGCGCCGCGCGAGGGGCTTTTTGGTCGGCAGCAGGACGACCAGCCTCTTACCGGTAATGAGAGTGAAACCGCGCACAAACCCTACGTGATCACCACGCAGACCCGCACCGAGCGCGTCCGCCTCCCCGACGGCGCTATCCAGACCAAGACGATTCGCAAAAAGCGGTTCTCCGATGGTCGCGAGGAGACGAATGAGTCGGTTGACGTCGTGAATCCGCGGCAGGGCGAGCAGACACCGCAGCTGAATGGGGATGGTGGCGCCGACCAGAGCAAGGACGGTTGGTTCTGGAAGGGCTAGTTTGGCGGTTCTGCTTCCACTTTCTTTCGCCTGCCTGGCCAGGATTTCTTTCCACATTATTCCCATCTGTCTTCTTGTTTGCTTGGTGGTGTCGCTTAGCGTTTCTCGTCTTGTATTACCATAACTCTACACTGCATTGAAAATGTTTCTTTTGTCTAAGTCGGGTGTGTGGAGGCACATGCAGCATGCGTGTCTAAAATAGTCATCAGTTATAAGTTAATTGATTTGACGTGTGGCCGTTCATTAAGGTTGGAAGTTAAAGCATGGCAATCATTGCTGTATGGAATTTCATCGAGGTATGAGGTCCATCCGGGGTAAAGTAAAGTATAATATAGCATAGCATAGCATTCTCCAGTATCCCGTCAGTGTCAGTGTCAGCATCGGTGTACATTGTATTTTATACATTATATACCCACCTACCCACGAATAAATCCAATGACAACTCACTTGTACCGCGACCTGCTATCAGGCCCTGGCATGGTCCTCCACGAGGCAGAAAGAGCCCAGTCAGCGAAGTCCAGCCACAAACATTATATGCATTAAAACCTGCCCGCTCGGTATATCTACCTCCGACATGGTGTAAAGGTTAGCATACCTGTCTCTCACACAGGAGATCGGGGTTCGATTCCCCGTGTCGGAATCGCGAGATCATTTCTTTGTTTCTTTTTGTGCGGTTGTTTTACCCCCGGTTTTACCGGGGTGCGGAAGGCGAATTCGTCCAGTCCATTCAGGGCTGGGCTGGGCTGGGCTGGGCTGAAGTGCTTCGCATGCATTGCCGGCATTCAAATCAATGGATTGCGCGAGCACGGACTCAGGCTTTCCTACAGCATGCACCTACACCTACTTGAGAATGAGATCAGGAACACTATCAACGGGTTCCATAAACATATCATGATATAGCCGGCCATTACCCATCATTGTATTGTGCTTGCTCTGTAGTCTATGCCCTGCCCTGCCCTGCCCTGCCCTGACTGAGTATCGTCATGCTAAGCATAGCTAACTTAGACCACCGTAGAGCTTTGGATCGAACATCTACATCTACCAACTTCTGCATCTACCCCTGACGTGACCTCCCCCTTTCCCCCCTCCTCTGGGCAGTAAGCAAAGCAGCCTCAATCAGCCTTCACGCTCTTCTTCTGCGCCTTGCCCGCCGTCCACCCCTTCTCCTCCCAGTAGGCGACGCTCTCCTCCATTTTCTTGTACGCCCAGGTGAACGGGGGGTCTGTGTCGGATCGTTAGCCATGACGAAAGCACTCATCGCCCAGCCCAGTACCCAAAAAGCCAGGCCTCCCAGGAAGAAACGCCAGCGAAGAAGGGAAGAAACGTACAAAGGAACTGCCGCAGGTCATGCCGATTGTCGTCCGGCGAGTACCCCTCGGCGTGGTAGCTGGGGGTCAGCACGGTCATCTTGTGGCGGTTGATGCTGTAGTTATAGAAAAAGTGGCGCGTCTTCTCGTACACCTCGCGGGGGCTGAGCTCGTGGCCCCATTTGTGCAGCAGGCGCTCGTACATCGACCACGGCCCCAGCTTGGCGACCTTGCGCAGCTGCCCGAACACCGACAGCTCGGCGTAGGTGACGCCCATGTCGGCCTCGTCGGACTGCACGTAGGTCTGGGTGATGGGCTCGAGCTCGGCGGTGGGCGTGGCGTGCAGGAACTCGTGCAGGATCGGGAGGGCGAAGGCGGTTTGGGCCCAGTGGATGAACTTCTTGAGGTCGACTTTGCTGATCGAGCCGATGGGGTTGAGCTGGCGGGGTTAGCTTTGGTGAAGGGGAATCGGGTGAAGGGGACGTACGTCGGCGCTGCTGGCGTCGTATTTGGTTAGGTAGCCGCGGAGACTTTGATGGTTAGTGTACGGCAATGGCCAACGGTGGGGAATGCTCTACACACCATTCTGCGAGATTGTTAGCACCGATCAGCCACAGGATTGTTCGGGGAAATACCATCGACGTTGGACGATCCCAGCACAAGCAGCCCTCCGCCACCCGGCCGCTGGCGGACCGTCGGAAGCATCTGCGCGAACAGATAGGAGAGCACCATTCGCAAGCGGGCCTGGATGTTCTGCAGCGCCTGGTTCTCCGCGAAGCTGCCGCCGTGCACCTTGAACTTCGGCTGGAAGTTGGTCACCACCGTGAACAGGTTCGTGACGGCGGTGACGACCGTGTCGAAGTTGAAGTCGATGTGGTAGGAGCCGATCTCCGCGGCCAGGGTCTTGGCCCGCTCCCGGGTCTCCTTGCTGGAGTTCTGCGTGCCCATGTAGTTGGTGTGGAAGATGCGGCTGGAAAGGTTTAGTCCTGTCGTCGGCGAGTTGATAAGGCGGTGCTTACTTGCAGACCTCCTGGCTGGTGGACGGAAGCCAGGCTGATCCCTCCGGCTCCGCGCAGAGCCGACGGACATCCTTGATCACCTGCTCATTCCCCTGCTGCACCGCTTTGACGACCTCCCTGCACATGGAGTGCACGATGATGGCCGTCGCACAGCTGTCGATGCCTCCGCTCAGAGGAACGAAGTATCCCGCTGCTCCACTGCGGCGAAGGTAGTCCCACAGCCAGCAGGCCGGACCGAGGGCGATCTCCTCCTCTGGGGCATGGTAACGGGGCTGAAGGACCTCAGATGGGGCAAGGCCAGGATCAGCCTCCTCGCCGGTACGCGACAACCTGAAATCCAGATCGAGACGGACGAAGGGGGTTTGCCTGCTGGCCTGCATGCTGCGGCTCACGCTGGAGCGGTATGAGCGGACCTGTCCGAGTCAGCCGACGCCCCCGCTCGAGGAGCAAAAAGAATACCTCTTCAATGTCCACAGTGGCAGTGACAACCTCGACGTCGTTGAGCGAGAATTGCGAGCCCTGGGCCACGATGTTGCCGTTGACGACGATCATCGCACACCCGTCGTAGTACAGCCGATCACCGTCGCAGCCCTGCTGGTTAGCGTACAGATAAATGCCACCACTCTGCAGACCGATCAGCATCTTAACCACACCCAGTCTGGGGATATTCTCACCAATTTAGTCGCCTGCGTGATAAGGTTGACGCGGGTATCGAGCTTCCTGAGTTCGTGGTGGCTGCCCGACGAGTTCGAGATGATCTCCACGCCGGCGAGACCGTAAGGGATATGGGGGCTACATCCATCGATCAGCACGGCCTTCGAACGGGCGGGGAACCGGATTACCCATTGGGAGTGAACAGCTCCTCGCACGTCTCCAAGCCCAGGCACGTATCCCTGGTGCTGATGACTGCATCACCGAAGGGCACCTTGTACTGGCCGGTGATCTTGCCGACGATCTGCTCCAGGTAGTAATCCTCGATCTCCTGGGGGCGTTGCCAGGGGGTAAAATGTCTCATCTCCCGATAGTTGCCATCTGCATGAGATCGTCAGCGATTTGCGCATCGCACAGCATCTTCATGGAGGACCCCACCATTGGCAAGCCACATCTTCGGCCGGATCAAGATAATCTTGCGGTTGAAGAAGATCACCCTAGTCTTGTCAGACTACCCTCGTATACCCGCGAAATAGCAAGCTCACCGGCAATTGTACCGCACGTTCCGGTGACGAACGGGCATTCTACCATCCTGTCAGCTGCCGTCGCAGACCAGGCTGTCTGACTCGCGCAACTCACCCAACATCGACCACGATATCCTGACAGTCGGGGTGGTCGATGATGCGCGCCAGCATCTCCCACGAATGCAGGAACGTGTCGCCCTCGATGAAGGCGTCCAAGCAGCCATAGCCTAGTCCGGTGTCAACGAGTTCCCTTCAAGAACCACAGACCATAGGCGATATACCGGTGATCTCCAGCTCCGGACCGACGCGCAGGGTGGCTCCGGCTGCCTTGGCCTGGCGGATACTTTCGATGATGCGCTCAGCATTGCCCTCGAAGTCGAGAGCCCATTGGTTGAGCGAGCTGCAGGTGGGATGGTTAGAACGGGGTTGCACGCAAGCCAACAACGCGGAGGACCCACGTACCATGTTGCGAGAGTGACCAGATGGCCCATTGTTGGAATTAGAAAGTGGCGAACCGACCGATTGGGAGGTGAGGATTGACAGGCTGCAGGGTCTTGGGGCGTGATTGATAAGAGTTGGAGAAATGCCACTGCCCCCCGGTAAGTCGTCGAGATGCACGGTCACGTGTGTGGGGTGCTTCCTGATTGCCCCTCAGTGTATGGGTATTACAGTTCCATAGCCCACAATGGACTTCTACCTCGGTGTAAATCATGTAATTCAAATACCCGTGGCGCAGATCCTCGGCACGAAACCAGCTGATTAATCCATCGTTATCGGAGAAGAAGTACAAATACAAATGCTGCAAATGCCCCAATGCCTCCGGGTTCGCAGTTTCTTTTCCTCTGACTCGTGCACTGGCTGTCCTCAATTACTCTTCTTCTCTCTTACCACTGCAGGCATCGAGTCCTGCATACCCCTCCCTCCATCACATCACATCACATCATTTAAGAACTACAACCACTCACAATGACCAGCACCGACTCCCTAATCCCCAACCCCGCGCACATCCAAGCCGAAACCATGCTGGCCCGCCAATTCGGCCGCGAAACCGCCAACTACTTCTCCAGTACGTCCCTTGCCCTTGCCCTTGCCCTTGCCCTTGCCCCTCAGAATCCCCCTTAAAACAGCACCCTCCTCTCCCCGCCCTCAAACCTAACCCAAGTGTCCTAACCGACAAAGGCTCCCCCCTAAACCGCCTCTCCTTCCTCCGCTCCAACCACCCCTTCCTCTCCGCCGCCCTCAACCACCCCTCCACCCGCTTCGTGCTCCTCAAGGACCTCGCCCCGCTCACCCAGACCGCCTCCCCCGCCTCGCCCTACTACGCCCGGTACGACGAGATCCAGCCCCTCGTGCCAGCCACCATCTACGACCAATCCGAAGAGGAGATTCTGGCCGCGTACGACTCGCGCAAGCCGACCCTCGCGACGCCGATTTTTCTAGGGCTGGATGAAAGACCCCCTCCCAAGAATGAGGGGGCGGCAGCATCATTCGCGTGGAAGATCTACGCCGGGACGCCGTATTTCGCGCTGGATGTGAGCGGACCGCGTGGCGGGGAGGAGGAGACGCAACAACAGCAGCAAACGAAAAAAGTGGTGGAGGCGTTGGAGGCGAAGGGGTTGAGCTTTTTGCAGGCGCGCGTGGTGATGAGTTTCGGTGCCGATCAGGGTATGTCCTATGTCCCCCTTTGCCTATTCCTAATTCTGTGGTGCTGGATGGGTGGATGGATGGAAGGCTGATGTGTACTGACCGTGTCCGGATGTAGCGGCGATCTACGCGCAAGCGCGCGCGCTGATCGACTGGAACACGCGCAACACCTTCTGCGGGACGTGCGGGCAGCGGACGATCGCGGTGCACTCGGGGACGAAGCGGGCGTGTCCGGCGACGGACGCGGCGCGGCCGGCGGCGGGGCTGCCGGCGGAGCGGCCGGCGTGCAGCACGCGGACGACGATCTCGAACCTGAGCTTCCCGCGGACGGACCCGACGATCATCGTGGCGGTGATGTCGGCGGACGCGCAGCGGATCCTCCTGGGGCGGTCGAAGCGGTTCCCGCCGAACTGGTACTCGACGCTGGCCGGGTTCATCGAGCCGGCGGAGTCGGTCGAGGACGCGGTGCGCCGCGAGGTCTGGGAGGAGGCCGGCGTGACGCTGTCGCGCGTCGTCATCCACTCCTCCCAGCCCTGGCCGTACCCGGCCAACCTGATGATCGGCGCCATCGCCCAGGTCAGCGACGCCGCGCACGAGACGATCAACCTCGAGCATGACCCGGAGCTGGAGGATGCCAGGTGGTTCGACATCGCGGAGGTGGAGGAGGCGCTGCGGAATGGGGTCAGTGCGCTCGGCGATGGGCCGGGCCCCGAGTATAAGGAGGGCGCGTTGCGGTTGCCGCCGCCCACGGCGATTGCCAACCAACTCATCAGAGCGGCGATCAGTATAGATCTCCTTGGCGGGGAGAAGAACTCGAAGATGTAGAATAGATTAGACAGGGCCTAGACATTTGCTGTGCTTCGTGTGGGTGGGGGGTCTGTTTTCTGGGGAAGCGAAATGTTGTTCACGTTTTATATACAAGTACATGGTACCAACACCTCACACAATCAACACAATTCTGAGTGTTATTGCTGCTGTCTACAACATCTGTTCATCCTATGAGCAAGCCATCGCTATAGCTTCCGGACTCAGACATCCTCACTCTGGCCCTATAGAACGCTTTAGTCAAAAGTGTCACTTCAGAGATTGGCGTACACAGTACCGTCGCGGAGTTCGTGGATACTATCACGGCTAGTCGGCGAGCCCACCTCGGCGTACCGCCTGCCATCCCGCAGCTCATGGATCGTGATGCGACGGTGCGATTTGCGCCGCCGAGAGCCCCCGGCCCCCCGGTTCGAGGTCGACGAGGCTTCGCGCATCTCGCCGCCGCCGCCGCCGCCCGTCGAATTCACGCTCCCCGCGTCGCTCAGCCCGGTGACGCTGTGCGGCGTGGCCTCGCGGCTCTCGCGTTCAACCGACGCCTGCAGCTGGTGGTCGGCGACCATCGCCATCCCGTTCTCCAGGTACCACTGGCGCAGGTCCGTGGCGTAGCTCGCCTCCTCAGGGCCGTATTCGACCGGCGGGCCGGAGACCTGCGGGTTGGCGCCGGCCGCGGTGAACACGGCCCAGGCGCTTGTCTCCACGCTGGCGAGCATCATGGCATGGTTGAAGCTCTTGACCTGGAAGTCTCGCAGGAGGATCGCGTCGCCCTCCGCCACGGACGGCAGGGCCGTCTTGTTGGGCCGGAAGATCTGCGCGAAGAGCAAGGTACCCGCCAAGGAAGGGTCGGTCAGCCCCAGCGTCAGGATGTAGTCTTTCTTGCCGGACGTTGCCCGGATCACGGGTCGCACCTCGGCGACCGTGGAGATCGTATCGATGAGCCCTCGGAAATGGTCGACCAGGGTGGCCAGCGGCGCGAAGTAGGACAGTTTGCTGCGCAGGCCCGGGTAGTTGCGATTCAGGGCGACGATGCGAGACACGTCGCCCCCAACCAGCATCACCTCGTCCTCGCTGTGCGTGGCATAGACATCGGTCTCCCTACCCACGTGGCCGCCTTCGTCTTGGTGGAATTCCTTCTGCGACGGTGCAGAGGCATAGCTCTCTGTCTCGGAGCCTTCGTCTACCGAGACGAATTCCTCGCTTTCGACATCCTGCATATCTGCATCTACCTGTGTGGGCTCAGGAGTCGGCGGTATTTCGTTTGCAGCGGTAGCTACTGACGGAAGCTTTCCCATGCCGATCAGCTGTGAAGGCTCCGGGGTGATCAATTGGTGGTCAAGTGGGAGGCTTGGACTTTGGCGACTCAAATCAGCGGATATAGGCAAGCTCTCCGAGGCACCATCAAGCGACAGGCCTGCATCCACTGGCTGCTGATCTGCCAAGGCTGTTTCATCATCCTCGGGTTGGATTATTGTATCAACCAGGCTGTGTTGCGAATCAGGTAAAGGAATTGCTGCTGAGAACGTAGCCGACTCAAGGAGTGCAGGGTCGATTGGGAGATCAGCCGAATGCGTGAGAGGGCCAGCGCTGTGGTCGACATGTCCAAAATCAGGTCCACTCGACGAAAAGAATTCTAGACTTTCGTAGCCAGGGCCGTGGATTAGCGTCGTCGTTTGAATTTCTTGAATGCCAGCGGGACTTTCTGGGTTCTGGACTGGGTCCACATCATGATATGGCACAGGCACAGACCCTGGCTCGTGGACCAATGCTTGCATATGGTCAGCCTGATCGACTTCCTCTGCGACGTGCTCCTGAACGTATGATTCCTCAAGCTGCACAGTATCAACCTCTTTGGCTTGTGCCTGCTCATCCCCAGACTCTTCGGTCCCAGTGTGTTGTCGCATCACACTTTCCTCGATGAGGATCTCCCCTCTCGGTTGCTCGTGTTCATCGACCGGCAATCCCTTCATCATTCCCCCGTAACTAGCATCTTCTGCTTCTGAATGTACATTCACCATGTCCTCATGGACTGAATGGTTGTCGTTTTCTCGCTCTTCCAGACCTCTTTCCGGCTCTTGTTCCTGCCCATGCCTTTGGTCTTGAATCGACCGTTCGTCAATCTCGGATCCAACATCCCCTTCAGCATCTTCGAGCTCAGCATCGAAAGTATAGGGAACATTTGTCTCTTCATCCTCGTCGACCATGTCCTCGTCGTGCATATCTTCCTCGTCTTCCATATCTTCCTCATCGTAAGCCTCTTCCCCATCGTAAACCTCTTCCTCATCATCATCAACGACTTCCGAGTCCGAAGCCTCATCGTTAAATTGTCCTGATCGTTCGGCGCTTGAAACACTTGCACCTCTCGGCCTTGAGTAAGCCCCAGGGCTCGGCTGTCCAGGCGCAGGTTCATCTTCGCTGTCACTGTCCAAAACAATGATCTCCGGGGAATTCCTTTTCGGCGGGGGCGCCTCGTGCCTGACATCCTCTGGATCCGACTCCGACTCAACACGGTCATCATATCCTTCTCCGTCGTCTTCGTCGTCATCGTACATGTCCTCTTCGTCCAGTTCATCCTCATCCTCGTCGACTTCATCCAAATCACCTTCATCGGACACGTCTTCCTCAAAGTGTTCGGATTCCTCGTCGAAATCATACTGGCCTGCGGGCCCTTCGACACCATGATCTTCCACAGCTGATCCTGCTTCGTCGTCCGATGCCATATCACCATCTGTCCTTGGATCGGGGGTGGGTTCCGCGTCGTCCGCCACATCCTGTTCATGTTCGTCGGCCAGGTCAACCGATCGAGGCTCGGAGCCTTGGCTGGCAAGCTCGTCTTCATGCTCCTCAATCGCCGATTCCTCTCCACTCGCGTTCTCAGCTTCAGAGTATTCCTCTTCATCTTGGAGGGTAGGACGGAGTTCTTCCTCGTGGTCGTCTGTTTCGCCATGGAAGGTCTCATGTTCGATTTCCGTCACGGTCCATTCGGTTGGCAATGAGTCTGCATCCGCCATTTCCAAATCCGCATCTCTCTCTGGCGAAGGAGCTTCAGCAGCCAGGGCAGGTGTCGATACATTCTCTTCCACGCTCCCCGCTTCCTCCACGATTGAAAGCCCCGGGTCTTCCATGAGCAGCTCAGAGACAGGGGCTGGCTCAGCAGCTTCATTGCTGGGAGTACCTGTGGCACCCCCGGTTAAAGGCCCTTGGGCTTGAAGTTCAATAGACTCGATCGCGATCGCTGCACGAGACCCAGCCTCGCTTTCCGCGTGCGAAGATTCCCGGGCTAAGTCTGACTGCGGTGCAGCTAGCTGGAATGGATCAGACGTAGCTGGCTCGGACGTGATTGCAACCGAACCAAAGTACCCCTGCGGGCTATTTGATGAGCTAATCAGTGGAGAGGGAATTGGCAGACCCGGAGAAGGAATCGGATTCAGCCGCGGAGTGTCCGTGGGAAGGTGGCCAGAAAGACTTGAAATAGTCCTATGCATATGCCGCGAGAACTCAAGCCGCCGAGAAAGATCCGGCCGAAGAAATTGCGCATCCGGCTTCGGTTGGGCCTTTTCCGAGGTATTATCCTCACGAGCCTCGGGCGTCTCCGACATTCGGTCTACATCTGAGACTGCACTTGTAGGTTCTTCTTGGACCGTAGGGGCGGAAGGCAGCTGATCGGTCCCGCCGGTCTGAGGCGACACGGGTACCGTCGGGACTTCCGGGGAGCCATCCGCTTCCTCAGCGGCCTCTTCCAACTCCGCCGCCGCTTGGTTGAGCCAGGCCTCGTCGTCGAACATAGCCGTCCAGTCCCCCGGTATTTCTAGATCCTCAGGACTGGCTGGTTCGTCCACCAGCCGCCAGTCATTGCGTATACTGAACCGCGTCCGTTTCCTCCCTTTGCCCGGAACGAATCCATCATCCTCCGCGAAGGGATCAAAGGCCGGATGCAAAGCCGAGCCAGCTATATGGCTTCCGATAGACGTTCTCGAGTGTCCCAGGAACGCGGGCGATTGCCAGGTCGCCGAGTCGAGGCCGCGGGGGAAGGCACTGCCTCTCGGATCGGGGGTAGTCGGTGTGGGCGTGGTACTCTCGGCAGCGGGCAGAGGCGACAAGGGGGGATCGATCTTGACGGTGGAAAGGTGTTGATCGGAGCGCCACACCTAGAACGCAATGAGCCACCACCATTTTCCGGGCTCTCTGTGGGTTCACTCACCTCGACCAGGACCGTGGTCTCGAAATGCACATCCCAGGCGACGCTCTTGCCCGGGGTGAGAACTTTCGGGTCATTGTCGGTCAGCCTGGATCCGTTCAGGCTGAGATACACATTGTCGCCGATCCCAACCTGCGACCTGGCGACCTCTTCCGCGACGTGTCCGTGGAAGACGACCCTCACTTGTCCGCCAGACCGCCGGAGCCGAAAGTCGGGCTCCGCCAGAAGCAGACTGATCGACCGCGTGGACGATGAGTAGGGCCATAGCAGAGCCACTACACCGCGTACAGAGTTGCTGGGTAGATTGTCGAGCGACGGGGCGAGCTGCGCAATGGGGATCGGGGTCGATTGAAGATGTTCGGAGACCGGAGCTTGTTGTTTATCGTGGGCGTCCATCGCTGTGGCCGCTTAGTGGTCATGCGCGTTCCACATTGCCTGATTCATAGGTACTGGCTGTCCTGAATTAAGAATAGCCACTCAGGTGGAGGGATTGTGCAATGGTCGACAAGAGCTGGAGCACAGGGCCAAAAAAAAATTAGTTTCTTGTTTGGATGGCAGCACGCGCGGGAAATCGAAAGGGTGCGGAGAGGAGGAAGGAGGAGAAGGAGAGGTTGTTGCGTCACAAAACTCGGCGTATTGGAGCTGTAATATTACAGACTTTTCTTTGTTGTTGCCGCAGCCCACCGCAGAGTGGAGTCGGTAATGGTATGTCAACCCCATGGCACATTGTTCCAGGCTCTCCCACATGTGATGGACCAGGATTAATTTGGAAAGAAAAACATGATAGAAGTTCCCATGATTGAAGATCACTGTCAGCTTCAAGAATATTCTTTCTGCATGTCGAAGTATAGGGTCGAACATCCAGAACAATTACTTGATCAGCCCATTCCCGATGACGGAGCACGAAATTCCCCGCCACAATGTGGTCATCGCATCGGCCACTGGAAGCCGCCGTGAACTACTACGGACTATAATTTACCTTATCACCTGCGTCGGCATATCTCCTCATCGTGCTCTTTCACAGAAAAATGACACGATCAGGACGGATCAGCCAAATAGCCGTGATCGGCGCAGGGCCCTCTGGTCTCGCCGCAGTCAAGTATGAATTTGCCCCTCCCCGGACCTTGACCTCCAGATTCGACCGCTAATCAATAGCCCAGATACTTGCTTGCGGAGAGATATTTCCAGAAGATCGATGTCTTCGAGCAAAGGGCCACGGCCGGTGGCGTCTGGAACTACACTCCAGGTCCTCTGAAGGACAATCTCACAAGCACTGTACGCCAGACCAACCCCCACCAGCCTCCGGAAGGGCCAATATGGCACACCTCCGAGGGGCGGCAGGAGCCTACTTTCGTCTCCCCCATCTACGAAGCACTGGAGACGAACCTTCCCAAGGAGATCATGCGGTACAGCGACAAGCACTTCGACGCGAAGACGCAAGTAATGCCCAAGCATGCCACCGTGAAGGATTATCTGCATGACTATGCAGAAGAGATCCGGGGTCTGATCCAATTCGAGACCCAGGTCTCGGACGTCCGAAAAGACGTCCTTGGCGCGGAGGGCTGGTCGGTCACCACGAAGAACCTGCGCACGGGAGACACAAGAACGGACCCGTACGATGCCGTGGTGGTTGCTAGCGGGCACTACGATCTTCCGTTCACGCCCGACATCGCGGGCATCAAGCAGTGGAACGAGGCATATCCCGGGGTCATCCTGCATTCCAAGCTGTATGACTCTGCCGAGCAATTCCGTGACAAGAAGGTCATTGTGGTGGGCAGCTCGGCGTCGGGCCTGGATATCGGGAACCAGATCAACCCCGTGAGCCAGGGCAAGGTCATCGTGTCCGAGCGAAACCAGTCGCTTCTTGCGTCCTCCGCGGGGGACACCAGCAAGGTGTATCGTCCTCAGATCGTGGAGTTTCTCCCGCCTGACTCCCACCGCAGAGCCGTTCGCTTCGAGGACGGCCACGTTGAGGCGGACATCGACGCCATCGTCTTCTGCACCGGATATCTGTACACATATCCTTTCTTGTCGGCGCTGGACCCGCCGCTCATCACCAACGGCCGTCGGGTGGTGAACACATATCAGCATCTCTTCTACATCCACGACCCCACCTTGGTGCTCAGCGCCCTTCCGCAGCGAATCGTTCCCTTCCCACTGTCGGAGAACCAGGCGGCGGTTTTTGCGCGGGTGTTCTCGGGGCGTCTGAGTCTGCCCTCGAAAGATGCAATGAAAGAGTGGGAACAGTCGACTGTCCGGGAAAAGGGCGAAGGGACCCCCTTTCACCTTCTCCCCTTTCCTCGGGATGCGGACTTTATGAATTTCTTGCATGACTGGGCGGCAGAAGCCGAGCCCCGGCCGGGACTCGACAATGGAGGCAACGGCAAACCGTGCAATTACTGGGGCGAAAGGGAGAGGTGGATTCGAGGGCAGATCGCGGAGATCAAACGGACGTTCGGACAGAAAGGAGCCGAGCGTGGGTTGGTCAAATCTCTCGCACAGCTGGGGTTCGATTTCGATAGATGGAAGAAGGAGCAGGAGAAGGAGAATCCGGCCGGTGCATCTCGTCTTTGAAACTCATCAAGCCTAGATATCCACTATTAAGAACTTCATTAAACTTAGATAAGCATTGCTACGCGGAATACGAATACAAATTCTACGCACAACCTTGCTATGACAATGACCAGCCCCAAGAACAATGGGTAACGAAAGAGATATCTCTCCAGTTCTTGGTAAACCTGTCCCGAATCTCTCACAACCCACGATCAACCTGGCAACCTATAGTTCCGGCTCAAACAAGGCAGCCTCCTCATCCCACCACTTGCTGAAAGTGACCAGTCTCTCAGTCCGCTCTTTAGCCATCTTCAGCCCCACGTCCGTCTACAGATCGAGTCAGCCTCGTCACTTCCCCACGCAATCGCCCCCTCTCCACAAACCAAAAAAAAAAAAGCAAGCACATACCTTCATCATCCCCTCCAACTTCACCAACTTCTCATCAATGTGAGCGCGCGACCTCTGCATACTCGCATCCGGCACCCTCGCACCCCCATACGTAAACATCCTGCCCACCCCAATCGCGCCCAGGGCATCCAACCGATCCGCGTCCTGCACCACCGCCAGATCCGGATAATCCTCCAGGACCTCCCTCACCTTCTCGGGGTTTTTGACTTCCGTCGAGTACGAAACATGGTTGACCACCTGCTCGACGTGCTCGATCTCGTCCTCCGCGATGCCCGCCTGCCGGAGCACGACGGCGACTTTGGACACCGGCTCCTCTCCGGAGGTCGACGGCGGTGGGGCGTATTTCTTGTCGTTAACGTCGTGGAGCAGGCTTCGTTCGGGATGCGATGCGTAAGAGATGATACACCGCGAAAAGGGGGGGCAGACTTACGCGCTCAGAAGAATGAGGTCGGGTCGGTACCATTCGTGGCGCTCGGACTCGGCCTCGAACTCGGCGGCCAGGATCTTCGAGGATAGGGCGACGACGCGCAGGACGTGGTGGAAGTCGTGGGAGGCGTCGTACTGGCTCATGTGCTGCTGGACCGCGCCGGCGACGGACTCGAAGACCGCGTCTTCTTCGACGAGGTACCGCCCGTAGTTGGACTGGCGGGCGGCCTGCAGGATCTGGCGGAAGGTGTCCATGATGGGTTTTTGGGTGGTGGATTGTACTGTCCTGTACTTGAAAGTAGGCGGTTTGGTGTGCTGTGGGCAAGGTTAGAGTTGCATGGCTTGTGATAGGGGTTTTCTTGGGGATAGGGCACTGACATGGATAATCCTAGGTATTAGAGGAGGATTATGAAGACAATTTCAATGGTTGGGGGTTACGACTTCGCTTCAAAACTCTGTATTGTTGCTGTTGTTGCGGGCTCCTTTTTTTTTTTAATATTTTGTTTTTCTCCCCCGCCCGCCCTTTGATGAACCGATTTCTCCGCATACAGTAAGTTACGGAGTATCTCGATGGGATCTAATCAGCGGCCCGGATCAAAGAGGTCTAGTCTGTCCCTGCCTAAGGCTTCCAAGAGGGGCTGCCTGTCTGCAAGGACTCCTGGGAACCACGACGTGCTCTCCCTACCTAGTTCGGGGTGATTCCAATCGTGTGCGAAGGCCAGTTCTGACCATGAGCTTAAGACTTACATTTCGAGCAAAGCTTCTTATCATTGTTTGCCTATCTTGCTTTTGGCTGGTTTCGACGAGCTTAGGGCTAGGGGTATCCAGTCCGGACTGTCCCTTCTCATGGAGCTCCTCACCAGGAAGCATACAGGAGCGGATTACGTGAATCAGGGTCTTACTACTATGGGCTTTGAATTATGATCAATCAACGAGCCAATATATTACAGGATTATCTGCAACACTAGAACCCTGTAAGGCTGCTGCTCGACTTTGAACATCTCTTTGTCGCTCGGGTTACTGATACAACAAGGCTGATAAGGGACGGTTATGGTTCAGGTGAGGATGCTTGAAAGACTTGCGTTCTCGACTTGGAACATCAGATCGATTAGTGGCTAGCAGCCCGGAATTCATATGCTAAGTACAAATGTGATGCTGTACCTAATATGGTGGGGAAGATGGACCTGCCTCCAATTCTCCGTGTAGACCCCTCTTTTACCGAGACAAGTAGAAAGGCTATGAACGAACCGACACAGACAATTGAGGAACCTTCTGAGCGATTCCAACATTGTAATACTCTGCTTAACCCCGGCTTATGGAGGCTGACTCTACTCGTTCCCTTCGTCCTTAGCCCTAAATGACTATACCCGAGGAGCATCACCGGCCGTTCCGCCGGCATCCCTGTCTGGTCAACCGTCAATTCCAACGGGGGGAGCGCAGAATCTTGTGAAACCGTCTCGAGGCTAACAAAAGCTAAGACACAAGCGACTCCACAGCTTCAAGAAAGAAATCAATCCCAATCAACCGATCCTTAATCGGTAGCAACCTCGGGGCCTTCTCTCCAAGCTCCGGATGACCGACTGATAAGGACCATCACGTGCCGGGGATCGCCCACGTTGTTTCCCGTCGACCTCCTCATCAACCACCACTTTCATTCACTTTCACTGCCTTTCAACCCTCCCCGAAGCCCGCCTACAGTCCCCTTACAGACCTTCCCCCCCCCACAAGAGCGCAGTCTTCTAATTGCAATCACCGTCGCTCCTTCGGACTTAACACCTCTCGAACTATCTCCGCCGCACTCCCTTTTTAGCACCCAGCGTTTTATTGTTCCACTGTCACACCACCATGGATTATCCCACCTCGGCCATGCTTCCAGTCCGCGCATAATGTGGCGCAAGCGCAAACTGTCCCCTCACCAAGACAACAACCACACCAATATATCACGCAAGAAACGCTGGAAGGAGAACTATACTATCGTGTCGAGCGACGACTCGGACCACGAAAGCAATCCCCTGGACGACGACGAATACTATATCAACTGTATACTCGACGAGACGGAGTCTCAATACCTGATCGATTGGGAAGGACCTTGGGAGCCCACTTGGGTAAATATATACATACGATCTCTCTGTGATAGGGCCCTGTTCTAACTGCTTGAATGTGTGGTCAGGAACCAAAGGAGCACGCCAACGAACTTGCTGTTGAGACCTGGGAAAAGGCGAAGAAACAGAGGAGTTGCGCTCAGAGTGAAGGCACACATCCGAGTAATACTCCAACGACGCAGTTCTCTTCCTCCCGCTCACGGACGCACAGCGCGGAGCAGCTGGTTACCGACCCTGTTGCCTCCGCACCCTCTCCGGAGCACACAAACAACGACCCGGGTTCGCCTTTGTTTGTCCCCTTCGACGGTACACCGGAGTTGCAGACTACTGAGGCGTACGGTTCGGCTCTGACAAGCCAGTCGAACACACATTGTTCGGCGCCGCCCGAAAACACGCCGCGACCTTCATTCCGCGAACGCCAGTTGCAGGTCTTCCAGGAAGTGCCCGCAACACCCGTCCCCACCGAACTCCGCCTGCCCGGCGAGTCTCCAGACGCTCGATCCGTAGAATATTCGCGAACGGTGACCCCTGCCGCCAACTGTCACACGTGGGAAAACGTTAGTGTGGTGAGTACTGTCCTGCACGAGGGACTCTATCAAGGCAACACTGTCGGCTCTTCTGGATCCCAGCGGCCGGTAGATCGGGTAGCAAGCAACCACGCGAGCGCCGTGGATGAAGTACCGGAGACGCCATTTGGCCCATTCAGTAATTCTGAGAGTCAAACGGCGCGTCCAGCTCCCACATTTAACAGCGCAAGCTCGCAGTATTCAATAATCTCTACCAAGAACCCTCTAAGCGCAAGTACGCCTGTCTCGCAGCAGTTTTCATCACTTCATTATCTGTCGCAAGGTGATATTCATGAATCTAGTCTATTCTATACTGGCTAACCGTTGGACAGGTAGCAATAGCGCTGGTCGCTTAGGTTCTATACCGGAGTCAGTCACGGCGCGTGTTTCGCAAGCTACGAAAGTCTTGTCTGCCAGTAAGCCAAGCTGCGAACTCGCCTCCGTGACGAACACACGGGAATCATCTGTGAAGATGGATGGTCAGGACAAAAAAGGTATGTCTCTAGCGGAGACAATGGAAAAATACAGCCAATTCGAAGGGAGCACTCCGAGGGAGAAGCTCCGAAATGCATATGCCCAGCTGCGAGCGCAGAGTGCGGTACCCCCGGAGCCAAGCGCCACGCCATCTTCGGTGGGTGAGGCTGGCGACATCGAACCATCGCCCGTCGCTTTGCCCGAATCCGCCGCCCCACTCAGCGTGAGGATCGACAAACCCTCGGCCCTTCATCCTGAACATCATTCTCCTGTGGAACCCCCGCCTGTCATCCCCTCGCCACCCCTGGAACCCGCACACATGGATCCCACTCAGCTCCACGATATACACCACGATGTACACCACGATGTACAACATGATGTACAGACTATTCAGCCGCATGCGTTATCAGTCGACCATACCGGGGAGTCGATTCCAGGATCTGTTCTGCTTGGTCCATCGGAATTTGCCATCTCGCTCCCTATGGACTCGAGGGTCAAGGATGATTACGAGCGAGTCCTTACCAGCGAGAGTGATTCCATCCAGGAATTCATCAATGGCACTAGCACACAAGCAGACCAGGTACTATGAAGCAGCCCCCACCTGAGCCTTGTAGAAACTGACCATCCCACAGCGCGTGCGTCTACTGCCCAAAATAAAAGAGGTTTTAGAGTGTCTGAGCAATGTCGCCACCCATCCAGACTTGAACGTCACCAAACATCTCAACGACTCGCAGGCGGACCTGCGGCAAGAGGCTTCATGGGCGGAATACTCGAGTGCCAAGTTCCTGCTTCTCTCCTACCTCGTGGGGTCTATAAGTGATCGCGACATACACTTGGTCATCATGGTGAATGGCGAAAAGACCCAGAACGTGGTCGAGCGGTTCCTGCTGGGCAAAGGCCTCGCATATACCCGCCCGCGCGAGGAGATGGGTCCTGGCACGAATGTCGAAGTGTCTCTGGCCAAGGGCCCGCTGAGCTTTGGGGTTCAGTCAACTCGCAATGACGGCATCGTGGAGACCTACAAAGCCCCTTCTGCAATCATTGCCCTAGACTCCTCATTCAACACCAAGATCCCCTCGGTGGAACACATGCGGACCACATTCGCTCGCCACGGGCATCTGCTTCCCGTCGTCCGTCTGATCGTGTCCAATTCCAGCGAACACATCGAGCTTTGCTTCTCCAGTTTACCCGAGCTCCAGCGTGTGCATCTGTTGTTGCAATATACCACGCGTCTGAAGAACTCGGTAGGCGACCTCCAAGACGATGCGCTTGGGGTATCTGAAGACGCAGAAGAGCTTGTCTCGTATCTGTCGTCCGACAACTTCAACGCGCACTGGTCGCTACCGGACATTGAGCCTCTGCACATTGTGGATCTGGAAGCACTACAACCCGTGCCTGAGGAGCCACCAAGCCGACCGGATGTTGAGTTTTCACCCATGGCCACACCTCTCCTGCAGAAACGCGCATTCGTAAGTTCCCGCTCACCCGGACGCAAGTTCCCCGGACCTAAAACAGAGATCACACAGACGGAAGACTCCAGCGAGCAAACCGCCAAGCGGCCCAGGATAGAGGAACCGCAAGATGCCAGCCAACTCACCGAGTCGACCAAATTCCCCAGCCAGACCCTCGACGGCGAGCTCAGATCACTGGAGAGCAACCTCGTTCAGTTCCGTAGTTCGCATGCGAACGAAGTCCAGAGACTCGAGAAGACGCTCGCTGAAACCCAGGCCCGCCTGCAAGAACGCGACCATGTCCTGGAGCAACTGCAGCACCGCTACGAGACGCGGACCAGGGACTTCCACAAGCTGCGCCGCGAAAGGGACAAGCTCGTCGAAGCCAAGACGCTGGCCGAGCAGCGCAGCGAGAAGAGTAAAGAGGAGCTGACTAAGATCAAAGACGAGCGCACGCAGCTGCGCCACGAGCTCGAGCAGGCGCGCGCGGCCCTGAAAAGCGATGCCGGCAGCATGGCCGCGGAGCTGGAGACCGCGCGCGAGGAGATCCGCCGCCTGACCAAGGAGAACAGCGGGCTGGAGCGCAAGGCAGACTACGAGGCCAAGCAGACCGAGTACACGCGCGAGCAGTACCAGACCGCGTCGAACGTCGCGGCGCAGTCCAGCAACGAGAACCGCCAGCTGCGCGACGAGAACGAGACCCTCAAGCGCAAGGTGGCCGGCGACGCCAGCCGGCTCCGCGAGCTCAACCTCCAGCACGACGAGGCCCGCCACCTGGCCCGCACCCTGGAGCTGGAGGCCGCGCTCGCCTCGCGCGAGGACCTCCTGCGCCGGAAGGAGGAGGAGCTGCGCGAGATCCGCAAGAACCGGCCCTCGACCCGCTCGACGAGCACCCAGCCGCGCAGTCCCAAATGGACGGCCAGCCGCCCCACCAGCCCGGGCATCAACAACCATGGCGGGAATGGTTCGTCTCTGAGCACGGGGCGGGGCAGTGCGCTACGCTTCAGCTCGGAGATGACTTTCTAGTCCAGCGGCTGCATCAGCTCACAGATGAAGTTCTAGTCCAGCTGCTGCAAAGATAGATCGGGGGGCTACGGATTCACCCTTCCCGGAGAACACTCTGCACCCTTCCTCAGACACCGCCAACCTCTCCTCCACATCCCAACCCCAACCCCTCCAGCCAACCCTTTGTGGATGTATACATGCATGCACTATGCAAGCTGCACTACCACCCAACCCAGCTGCCCCTCCCCCCCTTTACCGGTACTTATATCTTTCCTTGATTCATCCTGATATCCCTTCCTCAGCCCCCCTCATAGCGACACCCTTGCATAGTCCAAGTCAAGTCCAAGTCCCCTTCAACTCAATCTTCCACTCAAGCATACCCCCCGGGCACCGCCCCTTCAGCTCAATAACCCAACCATCTCCCAACCCTATCACCCCACCGCCCAAAGGGCAAACCCAAACCCAAAGCGAGAACAATGTACGCAACCCATCTATCTATCTATCTATCTATCCACCATCTTCCATCTACCCCTCAAACCGTGACTCCACGAATCCAAGACTCCAAGACTCCAAGACTCCAAGACTCCAATCCCAAAACCATAGATCCATCTATCAATCTAATCAACATCCCATCCCACCGCGCTTACCTCCCCACCCCCCAAATCTAGTTGCCAGTGCATAGCTAGTGCAGATCACCCACCCACCCAATCTAGATTCAATTTCGATATGGGAGATGTGTTGTGTGCTTTCTTCGTAGAAGAACTGAACTGTAAATATCTGCACAGTAATAGAGGCGCACAGAGATCCTCGAACCCAAAACTAGTAGGGTTGTCAGTCTGGGAACGGGACAGGGCAGGACAGCACGATACACCCCATTTATCTAGCTAGCTAGCTAGCTGGGATGTCAGTGTCGGTGTCAGAGTCGGTAAGTAAATGGTTTGTCTCCGGCCCGGCTTGGGGCGTTGAGATTCGTTTTGGGTTCTGTGTCGTGTGGAGTGGGCTGTGTTGTGTTGTGTTGGATCGGGTCTTGTTGGCGAGGAGGGGTCTGGAGCTATACTGTGCTGTGGGTTGTGATGGGGTCACTTGATGCACCGGTGAGTTAGCCTTGTGCTGTGCTGTGCTGTGCTGTGCTGTGCTGTTGTTGGACTTGGATTGAGGTGGGAAAGGGCGGGAGATAGGAGGAAGGTAGTTCGGACTGCTTTGTCAACTGGCTTCTTGCGTATGTGTAGTCGACACACGGAAAGGCGATGGGCGATGCTTAGTAAAATATCCTACAAGGGTTGTACCAATCCAGATACTAAGTCGATCGGGGAGCGTGGACGGAACCCCGTCTGCTTCCAGCTGTTTCAACACCATGGACAACCCAACCCTACAAGAGTAAAAGTCATCAACGAGGACGAGACAAGCATGGTAGATCATGTACTTCCATTAGGACTAGCCAATATAAAATCGTGACAACCAACAAAACATATCGAAACTATCTAGGGTAACAACAGCAATTGGTATTATTTGCAAAACAATGCAAGCATCCAGTCATTCTAGTTCGCCAAAGCATGGCCAATGAAGTTCGACAGCTCCTTGGCCTTCGTGCCCAGGGTCATGGTGAAGTGGTTCGCTTCTTCCATGATCGTGATGCCGCCGACGTTGCTCGGCCCCACAAGCGTGTCCCACTTGTTGGGTCCAAGGTCGGTACGGTTGTTCAGCAGCCAAATCATTTCACGCGGATCAGGGCTGCCGTCGGCAGCGGGTTCCGGACGTGGATCATTGGGCTTGTTGCAGACGCCATCCTTGGCCCAGATAAGGAAGACCTTGGGCATCTTGCTGGCCCATTTAGGATCATCGAACGGGAGCGGTGCCGCGCGGTACGCATCCAGGGAATCGATAAAGGCCAGGAAGTGAGGGAGGAGCCAGGCCGGAGGCGCGGATCTGCCTTCGCCGAAGAATCCGATCGAATCAAAGAACCGATACAGTCTTGGCGGAAGCTTCTCCAGTCCAATAGGGAAAGGGCTATCGAGAAGGAGGAGACGGTCAACTCGTTCGCCTTCTTCGAGAATCAGGTAGCGGGCAGCATCGTAGGCGCAAATGCCGCCGGCCGACCAACCGCCAAAGTTGTAAGGGCCCTTGGGCTGTCTGCGCCGCACCTCGGCAAGATAAGGGAATGTAAGCTCTTGGAGAGGGAACTTCAAGTTCTCTGGCGTCTTCATGTAGGGGCAGTTGAGCCCGTAGACACAGACGTCGGGACCAACCCGGGGAATCGTTGCGTAAGATGTGGCCGAGCCGGATCCATCAGGGAACAGGAACAACGATTGCGTAGCAGTCTTGGGATTGCCCTGGAGGACAATCGAGGTTGCCGGGGGGTGTTGAGCAGCACGCACATTGATATCCGACTTCATCGCCGGCAGCACCTCCGGAAGTCTTATAGGCTCCGGGATCGGCGCGGCCTTGGGCTTCAGGTCGAGAGCAGTCTCCACCTCCTCGAGAGTTTGATGCTCGATAAAGAACTCGCCTGGGAGATCCATGTCCAGTGTTTCACGGATCCTGCCTAGGACATTGAGGGAGAGAAGAGAATCCATTCCCATCTCACCCAAATTCTCATCTGCCTTGAGCTCATCCTCAGCCACACCAATTTCATCAGCGATGATCGCACGAATCTCCTTCATGGTAGCATGCTGGTCGACTTCGATCACCATCTCTTTTTCGTTGGGAGGAGAGGCAACTACCGGGGAGCTAAGACCCGACTCGTCCGAGCCATCATTGAAAGAGAAGCTCGACTCTGGATCACTGGTTGACCCATCGCTGCTTTCCGAAGGGCTGATCTGAGCTATCAACCGCTTGAAGTCCTTAACGGTCGGCTGGTCGATGAAAACCGACGAGTCCAGATCAAGGTTTAGCTCTTCACGGTACCGTCCGGTGATATTGAGAGATAGCAAAGAGTCCACTCCATAATCGGCGAAGACCAAGTCATCCGAGATCTCGGACTCGGAGAGGCCTACTTCAGCTGCAAGTATGCTGAGTGCCCGCACGATAACGCTGGGTCCACTCGACTTCAGGAGTGATTTCGTGGGTGTAGGCGCTTTAGCACGGGTCTTGTTGCCTGCAGCAGGCACGGGCTTCTGGATCACACTTGCAGTAGGACGAACGGGGGCGGAGGCTTTGGCAGCTCCGGCGGGCGGAAGCACAGTGTCGAGAATCTTACGAGGTAATGCTTGGAACTGTTTGAAATCTGGTCAGCTTTCTGCAAATATGACTGCACGGCAATGGGGCTTACTTGAACAGATCCGTAAACAGCGATGATTTCGTCGCCCTCGAAGACGTAGACGTCACCAGCCCATATGGAGTTCTGCCAGGGCTGCATTCTGACGTAGGTCCTGTAGGTGGAGTCTTTAGAGAACTTCTTCAGACAGCGCATCGAGTCCCAGCCATGGTTCACGAAAACTTGCGACTTGGAGTCGGTGCCGTCACTCGCGTTCATGATGAAACCCGACAAATGCCCAAAACTGTCGATCCAGAACGGATTCCTATGGAAGTCTCCCGCCGGAGCTTCAAACTTGACCCTTGCAGTGGCTTCGTGATTATCGCTGTCTAGAATGACTTCGCGGATAGATTTGAAGTTGTCATCGTAGTCAACCAAGGTAGCGAAGAGCTTGTACACCATGCCCCTCTGAAGCCTATGCGCTTCTCCGTTCTCTGCGATTTCATGCAGACGGTCAATGCTCCTCTTGATGAGATAGGACATGCGCTTCCACTCTTTCTGTGTAGCAGCACAGTCAAAGAATTTCACCGTGCATGTTGCATGTTCAGCGGTCTTCTTTCCTTCTGTGGTGACCGAGTAAATCTGAATTGACACACGTTGCTCCGCCCAGGTTGCCGTTGCAGAAATTCTGAAAAGTTGCTGGCCACCTTTCGCTATAAGTGTTTTGGGAACAGACACGTCGGCCACATCAAGACCCACGTCCTTGAACTCAGGCTTATACTTATTGATTAAGTACTCTGCGAGCGTTTGAGCAATGTCGGCATAGAGAGACTGTATCAGTGGTTAGCGCAGCTGTAGTAAGACGAGAATTCAAACATAACGAGCACTTACTGATGGGCAGAGATTGGCTCCGTTCACTTTGTGTCCCTGAATGACGCGGCGAAGCTCCGGATGGTCAAGGTCATTCTCAACGACCACTGTGGATGTGTCCCCCTCATTTCGAGTCTCAATGACCTTTTGAGCTGCAGTGGTTAGATATTCGTACTTTGGTGCAGTCTCAATGGCTGCAACGGGCGCTCCCTTAGACAGACAGAAGTTATTGGTGTACGGGATCCAATAGTTCTTGAGATCCCAGTTGTAGGCAGGGAGACGCAGTACTTGATGAGAAGAGCTGAAGTCTTGATGGTACTGCTTCCAGTTCAGATCAATGCCCGCCAAGTGCAATGCAGACATGCTATTTGAAAGGACCTTCCATGTATCCTCCTCTCGTCGAAGAGAGGCAATGGTGGTCACCTGGGGCCCAAGTGTTGCCTTGATCATCCCCGAGCAGATGGTGTGAGAACCCAGTTCAACCCACAGCGTCTTGTCATCGGCTAATTTTGCGTGCCTAATAGCTTCGAGAGCGCCGAGGAAGTTGACAGTGCTCCGACAATGGTCCTTGAGGTACTTAGCTCCGAGAACATGAGCATTAGCCTCTGTGATGACCTCACCAAGGAGAGCCGAGACGAAAGGAGTTGTGGGTTTATGGAATGTAACGCCTTGGGCAAGAGCCTCGAATCTGTCCAAGATAGGATCAACCTGCGGGGAGTGGAACGCGTACGGGACCCGTAGTTTGGTTGCCTTGACGTTCTCAGTTGAGCATTTCTGTGCCAAGTCCTCGATGTCCGAGGCAAGGCCACTGATAACAGTCTCGGCCGGAGCATTGACACAGGCGATCGTGTGAACATCATCCTTGAGGAAGTGCTTGATCTCGGCAAGCGAAGCCCTGATTGCCAGCATGGAGTGGGTTCCAACCTCGCATTTCTCGGTGAGCAATTGTGCTCGGCGTCCACATAGGTAGATTGCGTCACTTGTTGATAAAATTCCAGCAGCATTCAGGGCGGCATAGTCGCCAAGACTGTGGCCAAGAACGAAAGCCGGTTTGACACCCAGTGAACTCCAGTAGCTGATCAGGGCCATCTGGACGCAGCATGTGCCTACCTGCACAACCACTGGGCTCAACTCTTCGACAGGAATGGTACCATCGACAAGAGATAAAATCGAAGGCAACCCTTGACTCTGTGCGATGCAATCAAAATGCTCAATTGTGTCTCGGAATGGAGAGCAAGTATTATAAAGCTCTTTGCCCATTCCGGTGTATTGAGCTCCCTGACCGGTGAAGACAAAGCCAATGCCTGGAGTCTTCGCTGGGACAGCGGTAAATGTGTCGCGCTGAGCGGCAGCATGCAAAGACTCACGCAAGCTCTGCAAAGTCGAGCCAACAGCGGTAATTCTGAAGGGGTGGTGAATCCTGCGAGCAGTGGTGGTGTAAGCCACGTTGGGAACCAACTCAGACTCTTTAACTCCGAATGAGTTGGCGTATGAGTCCAGGTACTTGATTAGAGAGTTGACGTTGTTTTTCAAAGCACTCTGGGACCGAGCCGAGACTGCAACAACGTGAAATGATCGAGGGTCCTGACTAGTCGTCTCAGGGATCGGCCCATCTTCGATCAGGAGGGCGGTGTTGCCACCAGCGGCAGAGAAATTATTAACAAAGGCGCGGCGCTTTCCAGAAGCTGGCCGGTTCCA